ATTGATATTTTCGTCTGGAAAGTGCGAAATGGTGTGGTGGCGTGGTGAAAATAACAACATGGCTATAAGTAAACGACGTATCCATGCAGAAGATATGCCATTGATTTAAAAATATCCCGGGTATCTGGTCATCGCTGGCGGAGAGATCCAGACTTTAAGTGGTTGGTGGATGTCATGGGTGCAATTACCTAGTTTCAAGTAGCATACTTCGGTGATTATTATTACGTTAGAAATTAATTTTAAAATAAGATATAACTTTAGCACAAATTTATTCAATTCTTAATTAAACCATCTTAAACCACCTTAAACCATCGTTTCGTCAATATATATGTTGAACACTTGCATCGCACACATCTACATGCTGGGCCTAAAGTGCTGTTGGCCATATTGCGCCAGAAGATATGGATCGTAAACGCCAAAGAAGTTGATCGGAAAGTAGTTCGAAATTGCGTTCACTGCTTTCATTACAAGCCAAAATTGTTGGGGGAAATTATGGGTAATTTGCCTGTTGATCGTTTTCGAGCTCATCGTCCATTCCTATTCACTAGTGTTGATTTTTGTGGTCCATTCATGACATCGTATCGAATTCGTGGAAAGTCACCCTAAAAAAATACATCGCTGTTTTTGTTTGATTCAGTTCTAAAGCAACACATTTGGAACTTGTTTCGGATTTGTCAACAAACAACTTCATAATGTGTCTCAAAAAGGTATTCCCCAAAAGCTCTTTTGCGACAACGCTACCAATTTCGTTGGAGCCCATAATCAGCTCAGAGAAATCAAAGAATCGTTTTACAAAGATGAAGTTGTCCAGAAGATGAAGTCTGTTTGCTGCCAAATGGGTCTTCAATTCAATTTCATACTCGCTCGTGCCCTACACTTCGGCGGATTGTAAAAGGCTGCCTTTAACCCGACAAAAACGTTGCTCATTAAAAACATTTCTAAGGCGTATCTCACATTTGAAGAGTTGCAAACACTCGTTGTTGAAATCGAAGCTATACTGAACTTTCGTCCAATAGCTCCCATGTCCTTAACCCCTGGCCACCTCTTAATTGGTTCCTCGATGGTGGCAATACCAGAACCAAATTTAGATGTCACAAAACCATCTTTACTTACATGATGGCAAAAAATCTCATACTTAAAACGACAGTTTTGGAATATGAGGTCCAGAGATTACCTATTGTCGCTCCAACAACGCTCCAAGTGGTTAACCGAATCGAGAAATATCGTTGAAGGCCAACTCGTCGTCGTCCATGAAGACAACACACCCTCTCAACAGTGGCTCTTAGTGCGAATTACCAAATGTATTCCAGGTCGTGATGGCAAAGTACGAGTTGCGGAATTACAAACGAAGAATGGATCCAGTTGTCGGCCAATCCGTAAAATGGCTCCTTTACCACACCAAGATGTTTGAACCTTGACGCTTCAACGGGCGGAGGATGTTGGAGGAGAATAAATTCATGTATTTTATGTGCTTTTCGTCGATTTGTTAAGTTTAATTACTTCGAAGTATTGGGTCGTTCATTTCATTGTATTGTTTAATTTAATATTAATTTTATATATTCTTATTTTTGTCGACCAACACTACTGTTCCATAATTCCTAAATTTATTCGTCACAACCTAATGTGCGTATTGTTATCGTTGTTTCGTTTTGTGTTATATGCGTCTCAAAGAGAGACAATAACAACAATGCCTACAGTCGTTTAGGCATTTGTCTGTTATTCGTCTTCTTCGTTGGTTTTGTGTTGTGGGTAACAACAATAACACTGTTGTTTGTCAGCTTTGTATGTATGTATAGTAAAATACATATTTATAACTGTGGCCCTTTGTTTTGTTTACATTTTGGTTTGTGCGAATTTCATATTTCACGATTAGTCGTCGTTTGTTTTGAAGTTTCAGATTTTGTTTTGTTCCCCCTTTTTTTTTGTAGCCCTTAAGAAGGGATTAGAAAATAGATAAGTTTAGTTGACATATGACCGGCAAACATATTGAAGAAAAATAAACTTGAAATTAAATTCGAAACTTATAGTGCGTTTTATTTATTAATTCGGGCGCAAAAATAAATAAAACCTGTCATACAACCTTGATTCCGGAAAACTATTTTTTCTTGGAGGACGATCCCGGGACCCCCGATTTTTGACCCGAAAGTCCGTGTTCAAGACCCGGACCCGGTTATGAAAATACCTATCTAACAAGTGGTCACGGTGTGGAAGTTATAGTCAAATCAAATTATCGATTTTTTGGACCCGGATTTTTTATAAAAACTCAAAAAGTCGAAAAAGGTCCCATTATAGGGGTCAACAAATTGATGCCAAATTATAGCTGACACTCTTACCTTTCCAAATTCCTACAATTTGTGCTAATACCTTTTCGGGTCCAGAGATATGGGTCTTTCCATTCGCATAACTCAATTCCAAAATGCTACAATTTGTGCTAATACATTTTTCGGGTCCAGAGATATTCTCTTTTAGTTAAATTTAACAGTTGTTGTAAGTAGCCGGCCTTCGTCCGGGGCTCGAGATTTTCCTCTCTGGGTATGTACCACACCGGCTAACGCGAACCAAAGTTTTCCAAATTTGAAACTTTTGTAAGTCGCCGGCCTTCGGCCGGGGCTTGATGTTTTCTCCTCTGGGTATGTCCTACACCGCGAACTTGGACTTTCGGGTTAAAAATCGTGGTCCCAGGTCCGTCCCCCAAGAAAAAAATGGTTTACCCGGAATCAGGGTAAAAATACTTACCTCTGGAAAAAATCGAAGAGTTTTTACTAAACCAGAGTTGCTCCAAAGTATCAGATTAAAGGAAGATTTGGTTTGCCCAGCCGGTGAAATTAAAGTTTTGCCCAAGTACCCGAAACCTTTTTGGGGTTTTGATCCACAAACCCGGTACCATAAAATTCCCTTGGAGTTTTCTACAGCCTACTGGGTGTTGAATGTTTGCAGCAAATTAAAATAAAGTGCTGACTTTGTGTAAATTAAAAATGGAAAATTGATCTGAAATATTTCTTTTATTGATACTTTTCCCAACAAAGACAAAAATATTAAAAAAGATTTTTACTGGAAAAAAAAAAAAAAACAAGAAACGCAAACACATAATTTTCCTTTGCAATGAATTTTGAATTGTAATTAACTATAGCACTTTTAAGCCTATGTAAACAGCTTACTATGATTTTTGAATAGAAAAAAACATTTTTTGTCTAAAAGTAAATGTTATGTTTCTTTTATGAAGCAAATCAAAAAAGTCGGTACAATTTTATTAATATAAGTGCGAAATATTTTCAAGTTCCTTTGAAGATCTTTTTTGTTTGATTACTTATAGTGAAATCCGATGAAGGATATCATAATCGTAGACGTCATGCTTCTAAAATGATGCTTTGTAGGAGAATTTTGCGAAAATCACATGAAGTACTGCGAGTCGAAGTCGTCAAAATACAGAGTATAGTATTTATTGGATCTAATATAAGTACGTCGAAAAGTTACAAATGGAATGACAAAGTTAAACAACAGCCAATTTTATTATTTGATGTTTTACATTACTAGGTGTTGCATCAAGTGTTGAAGATGATGCAGATCAGATAATTAACTGTACTTTTTTCAGGCTCTCTCAGAGCACGCAACGAAGACGGCGAAAAATTTGGCATTCTCCATTCTACAAAAAGGACGCACATTTTTTATTTACGAATTCTTTTAGTTGACGCATTTTAGAGAGATTTTTTTCGTTGTCTATAATAAGAAAATAGAATGAAATAAAATCCTATTTCCATTTTTTACTTAAATTTATTATTTAATTTTAATACCTCCCCATGAAGTAGAAAACCATTAAAATAAAAAGATCGTTATCAAGAATTTATATTTCATTTAATATACAACTATATTCGGCCCTATTACGGTTATCATCGGCGTCGCAAAATGAAGTCGAGGCGTCAATAATGATATTAGGGTTGTCGTTTTTTTGTCGATAGCGACAAATGGTTGCCATTATCATTGTCGATACAACAGTCGACGTGAAGTCGATTTTTGAGAATATCTGTCGCCGTAAAAAATTGTGACGACATAGTACTTTTTAGTCGACGTTGATATTGTAAGCATTTTGTATTTGATATTTGACCATGAAAATAACAACAGCAAAACAATTTGAAATTTTGGTTTCCGAATTGAAAAAAATCCATGTTTGGCAAAGGTCATGTTCCAGCAAATTTTAATTCACATTGGGAATCCATTGCTACAAAATTAAATGTAAATGGGCCTCCGAATAGAGACTCTGATGGCTGGCAAAAAGTATGTAAAAATTAAAATTATTTTTGTATGTTTTTATTAGTTAGATTTCTAAAATTCTTCTAGGTTTGGAAAGATTAAAAATTTAAAACTAAAAAGAAACTTGTGCACAACAAGGGTGAAACCAGCAGCAATGGAGGTGGCATTTTTAAGCAAATGAGTTTGTCGCCTTTGGAGGAATCTGTCGCGAATATAATGCAGTTTCAAACGTTATTGAATCCACCAGGTCGTGCACTTGGAATAAAAATTAAGAAAAACATAAGTGTAATAGACCTTATATTTTTTCACTATATTTTTTATTTTTCCGAAAGAGTCGAAATTAGAATTCAAAATAGCAAAAAAAATTATCTCTTTTGTCAATAACAAGGGAGTGTTGCCAACGTTTTTTTAATTGTTGCCAACTTTTATTTTAAACTGTCGATGTCGCTTCTATGCCTTACCATAATACCATTTTTGAATCGAAGCGACGGCGAGGGCGACTCGCACATAAAGTCGATGACGACTATAGTAACGACAACCGTAATTGGGCCGATTAAATTTTTTATAATTAAAAACATTTCATTTAAGAAATACATAATCGTCTAACGACAATGTCAAATGGGAAACCAAAATTTATTTTTGTTATTCTTTTAAAATTGTTGTATGAAGAAAAAAGAAGATTGTACAAAGATAGTATGAACAGTAGTATTTATGTATAAAGTATTATGATTAATATAAAACATTTAACGTATTTATAAATATAGAACATTTGAGAAGAGATAAGAAACACTTTCGCCGTTATGTGTTCTTCTAACGGCTTCGGCAAACATCATAGAGACGGCTTCGGCAAACATCATAGAGACGGCTTCGGCAAACATCATAGAAACATCAATGGACGTCACACGTTTAGCCCCACCAGCATCAGGTGAGACAATAATGGAATTCTTCCATTCTGTAATATTTTCTTTGATCCATTTTAGAACGGCTGGTTCAGCAAAAAGATTGTCCACGGGAATATCAAAGAAACCTTGAATTTGAGATGCATGCAAGTCCATAGTAATAATGTGATCTGCTCCGGCCACTGATAGCATATTTGCAACCAATTTCGCGGAAATTGGGGAGCGACTCATTTCTTTCTTATCTTGGCGAGCATATGGGAAACAAGGAATCACAGCTGTTACACGGGATGCTGATGCGATCTTGCAGGCATTGATCATGATCAGTAATTCCATCAAGTTGTCATTAATCTCACCGGAACCAGATTGTACAATGTACACATCTTCACCGCGCACAGACTCACCAATTTCGACACATGTTTCCAAGTTTCTGAAATTATTGGTGACCACTTTGCCCAAATCGATACCCAAACGGTCGACAATCCTTTGAGCCAGATGTGGATGCGAAGTACCCGAAAACACTTTAATGGTTGCCATTCTTGTTTCTCCAATTTGCAGATTTTGTGCGTAGCTAAGTGTCAGATTGAACTGAGAAATGTGAGGTCTTTTATTGGTATTTCGAGGAACTACAAACGGAATGACATGGTTATAGCATGATGGAGGGTATTCGAAATAATATTGGTAGTTATATGAATTTAATGCGTTGTTTAACTTTCCACCACCCTTTTTATACTATAGGTTTCAAATCCATAAAGAAACATGAGCACGAAAACTGTGTGGTGAAAAACAACAGCGCATCTTTTGGTTAACCAATTTCAAGGAGTGGTGAGTTAAAAAATGCATTTTATTCATATTACTACCAATATTATTTCGAATATCCTACATCATGCTATAACCTTTGTCATTCCGTTTGTATACCCTCGAAATACCTATGCAATAAGGCCAAAATTACAATAAAAAATTAGTGTGAAACTCACACAAATTTACCTTTACAAGTCTTTATATTTCAGTTGCTTTTTGAAAATAGATGCAATATGAGCAATTAAAAACGATAGTACAATCTTTGAAACTTTAGTAACTGGTAATCACTTGGGCTGAGAGTATGTTACATTCTAAACAAAATCGTTGTTATGCCTTATACGTTTTACGAAATCAATAAATAAGACAAATATTTGTTAAATCGAATATAATAAAAGCGAGATTTATTTTAAATAATTCATTGTTTTTTGTGGAAATTTAAAATGAAAAATTGATCTGGAATATTTCTTTTTGATACTTCTCCCAACAAAGGCAAAAGTATTAAGGATTTTTACTGAAAAAAACAAAAAACGCAAACACATAATTTTTTCTTGCAATCAATTTTGAATTGTAATTAACAAAACAGTGTTGGCTTGTTTGTTCGGGATATCATTGTATTGTGTTGTTGCTAAATGGCCAGGCTCTATCCCTTTCTTGTTGTTTTTATAAAAACGCAGTTTGTTTATTAGTGGGGAACGATGATAATGTTTACCGATGATAGGCAGGGAATACCTAGTTTTCTAAAGAGCCACCAATCCTCATCAGTTCCCTTGTTTTTTGTCTGTGATATTCTCCTCAGAAGTTATTTTAAAAATAACAGAATTTATTTAAAAAAATTCTATGACAATTTTTTACCCAAGTGACAAGTGCGTAAGCCCAATAGAAGAGGAATCAAAGAATTACATTAAAGCAAAATTCTTTTGGTTAATCTTCTAATTCTTACAACCGCACTTCTAAACATTTTCATCTTTCTCAACTTGTTATGCTTTCGTTTTATATGAACGAAGTAGCATAACCATGTAAGTTGGTTTTGTCTGTTTTGTTTTTTCTCTTTCCAAAACCTAGGTATTCCCGTCATTGCCCCCTGGTAAACATTATCATCGTTTCCCGCAAAAAAACAAACTTTGTTTTTATAAAAACATCATAAAGGGATTAAGCCTGACCATTTTGCAACAACAACATACTATGGTATCCCGAACAAACAAGCCAACGCTGTTCTGTTATTTACAATTCAAAATTGATTGCAAGAAAAAATTATGCGTTTGCGTTTTTTGTTTTTTCAGTAAAAATCCTTAATACTTTTGTCTTTGTTCTTTCCACAAAAAATAAAGAATTATTTAAAATAAATCTCTCTTTTATTATATTCGATTTAACTAATATTTGTCTTATTTATTGGTTTCGTAAAACGTATAATGTTTAGTTTTGTAGAAACTGTACATGTTGTAAAATAGTTTGTGTGTTGATTGTTCTTCTTTAAATTCTAATCTCATTTTTATTTGTCTTTTCCGAAGAATGTAAATTAGCGTGCATTATTAAATAAAATGCATGTGTTAATGTATTATATGTAAGCTTTAGTGTTAAGAATATGTTGTAAATAAATTGAGTTCCCTTCCAGCCACGGAACGAGAAATATCATTTTGCGGCGTTTTCGTTAGTTACATCGCTTGTGATGAGGTTAGGCGTCGACCTCATCATTTGGTGACCCCGACGTGATAGTATCGCGTGTAGTTAGTGAAAGAAGTGATTCGATAGGCTATATTTTCAGCGCCCGAGAAAATATTAGTTTATGCGAAATAAATAACGTGATAGGCGCGCATTTTCGTAGTAGTGAAGTGTGTTAGGCTTATTAGCTGTAGCGACGTAAAAGATGCACTGTTGAAGCAAAGATAGTGTTAGATCTTTTAGTTGTGTAAAAGGAAACCTGAAAGGTAGCAGTGAAAGATTCTGTCGATCTATATCTCCATATACTAACGCAATAGACGAGTAGATAAAAGTGATTAGTTTATTCATTTATTTTTTTAATGCACATATATTTCGTCAATATGAATTTTGTAGACTTCATTCAACATAAAAGGATGTTGGGCGAGTATATTGTGTCACTTTATTTAGAAATGGAAAGAATTGCTCTGTGTGGTGTAACAGAAGAAGAAGGGAAAAATGTACGGAATTAGGTAGTTCCTTTACAGAAGCAAGAAAGGAATATTTAGATAACGAGAGGGAACTTCGTCGTATGAAAAAAATTACATACTCGGATTGCATAGACGCCTTGGGTGTGTGCTATGCGACTAAAGATATCGGGAGAGTTCTAAACGGCATAGGTGTTTTTGTGGCCATAGAAATACCACGTTTAGATATCGATTATTTAGCTGAGGTAAACAGCTTAAGTTCATCGGTTCATGCCTTACTGTTCCATACATTGGGATAACGGTTAAACTTATCGATGCCTTATTTGATTTTTGGGAGGAGATTAGAAGAGGTTATTTCTCAAGAATAGAAAACATCGATAGAAAATTTCAAACATTATCGTCACAATACGTGCGGTATTTGGATGTAGTTGGAAACGGAATTTGTTACTGCATTGTGAGAAGTGGGAACATTTCAAGAATAACACCTAAAAAGGTGAAAATGAAGAATCATGTTGATAACGTTTCAGGCAGTTTAGGGACTCAGCAAACAGTATTTGAGGACTTAGAAGCTATCGGAAGAAAAAATGAAAACGTTCGCGTTGATGCTCCACGAATCGAAGGAAAAATAACGCGTAAAATTAAAATTGAAGAAGGGCTGCCAACAAGGAATACGCTGGATCACAAAAATCTTCTATTTGCTGGTCCTGACAAAGAAAACAGTGAAATCCGGGCCAGGGATTGCATTGGCGATGGACATAAAGAGAAGATTGATAATTTCCGTCTGGAACGTGCGAAATGGTTCAGAAGGCGTGGTGAAAATAACAACATGGCTATAAGTAAACGACGTATCCATGCAGAAGATATGGCATTGAATTATGGCATGGATTTAAAAATATCCCCGGTATCTGGTCATCGCTGGCGGAGAGATCCAGACTTTAAGTGGTTGGTGGATGTCATGGGTGCAATTACCTAGTTTCAAGTAGCATACTTCGGTGATTATTATTACGTTAGAAATTAATTTTAAAATAAGATATAACTTTAGCACAAATTTATTCAATTCTTAATTAAACCATATTAAACCGCCTTAAAACATCGTTTCATCAATATATATGTTGAACACTTGCCTCGCACACATCTACATGCTGGGCCTAAAGTGCTGTTGGCCATATTGCGCCAGGAGATATGGATCGTAAACGCCAAAGAAGTTGTTCGGAAAGTAGTTCGAAATTGCGTTCACTGCTTTCATTACAAGCCAAAATTGTTGGGGGAAATTATGGGTAATTTGCCTGTTGATCGTTTTCGAGCTCATCGTCCATTCCTATTCACTAGAGTTGATTTTTGTGGTCCATTCATGACATCGTATCGAATTCGTGGAAAGTCACCCTAAGAAAATACATCGCTGTTTTTGTTTGATTCAGTTCTAAAGCAACACATTTGGAACTTGTTTCGGATTTGTCAACAAACAACTTCATAATGTGTCTCAAAAAGGTATTCCCCAAAAGCTCTTTTGCGACAACGCTACCAATTTCGTTGGAGCCCATAATCAGCTCAGAGAAATCAAAGAATCGTTTTACAAAGATGAAGTTGTCCAGAAGATGAAGTCTGTTTGCTGCCAAATGGGCGGACACTTCGGCGGATTGTAAAAGGCTGCCGTTAAACCGACAAAAACGTTGCTCATTAAAAACATTTCTAAGGCGTATCTCACATTTGAAGAGCTGCAAACACTCGTTGTTGAAATCGAAGCTATACTGAACTTTCGTCCAATAGCTCCCATGTCCTTAACCCCTGGCCACCTCTTAATTGGTTCCTCGATGGTTCTGGTATTGCCCAGAACCAAATTTAGATGTCACAAAACCATCTTTACTTACACGATGGAAAAAATCTCATACTTAAAACGACAGTTTTGGAATATGAGGTCCAGAGATTACCTATTGTCGCTCCAACAACGCTCCAAGTGGTTAACCGAATCGAGAAATATCGTTGAAGGCCAACTCGTCGTCGTCCATGAAGACAACACACCCTCTCAACAGTGGCTCTTAGCGCGAATTACCAAATGTATTCCAGGTCGTGATGGCAAAGTACGAGTTGCGGAATTACAAACGAAGAATGGATCCAGTTGTCGGCCAATCCGTAAAATGGCTCCTTTACCACACCAAGATGTTTGAACCTTGACGCTTCAACGGGCGGAGGATGTTGGAGGAGAATAAATTCATGTATTTTATGTGCTTTTCGTCGATTTGTTAAGTTTAATTACTTCGAAGTATTGGGTCGTTCATTTCATTGTATTGTTTAATTTAATATTAATTTTATATATTCTTATTTTTGTCGACCCACACTACTGTTCCATAATTCCTAAATTTATTCGTCACAACCTAATGTGTGTATTGTTATCGTTGTTTCGTTTTGTGTTATATGCGTCTCAAAGAGAGACAATAACAACAATGCCTACAGTCGTTTAGGCATTTGTCTGTTATTCGTCTTCTTCGTTGGTTTTGTGTTGTGGGTAACAACAACAACACTGTTGTTTGTCAGTTTTGTATGTATGTATAGTAACATACATATTTATAACTGTGGCCCTTTGTTTTGTTTACATTTTGGTTTGTGCGAATTTCATATTTCACGATTAGTCGTCGTTTGTTTTGAAGTTTCAGATTTTGTTTTGTTCCCCCGTTTTTTTGTAGCCCTTAAGAAGGGATTAGAAAATAGATAAGTTTAGTTGACATATGACCGGCAAACATATTGAAGAAAAATAAACTTGAAATTAAATTCGAAACGTATAGTGTGTTTTATTTATTAATTCGGGCGCAAAAATAAATAAAACCTTCTGTCATACAACCTTGATTCCGGAAAACTATTTTTTCTCGGAGGACGATCCCGGGATCCCCGATTTTTGACCCGAAAGTCCGTGTTCAAGACCCGGACCCGGTTATGAAAATACCTATCCAACAAGTGGTCACGGTGTGGAAGTTATAGTCAAATCAAATTATCGATTTTTTGGACCCGGATTTTTTATAAAAACTCAAAAAGTCGAAAAAGGTCCCATTATAGGAGTCAACAAAGTTGATGCCAAATTATAGCTGACACTCTTACCTTTCCAAATTCCTACAATTTGTGCTAATACCTTTTTCGGGTCCAGAGATATTCTCTTCTGGTTAAATTTAACAGGCTCGAGATTTTCTTCTCTGGGTATGTACCACACCGGCTAACGCGAACCAAAGTTTTCCAAATTTGATACTTTTGTAAGTCGCCGGTCTTCGGCCGGGGCTTGATGTTTTCTCCTCTGGGTATGTCCTACACCGCGAACTTGGACTTTCGGGTTAAAAATCGTGGTCCCAGGTCCGTCCCCCAAGAAAAAAATAGTTTACCCGGAATCAGGGTAAAAATACTTACCTCTGGAAAAAATCGAAGAGTTTTTACTAAACTAGAGTTGCTCCAAAGTATCAGATTAAAGGAAGATTTGGTTTGCCCAGCCGGTGAAATTAAAGTTTTGCCCAAGTACCCGAAACCTTTTTGGGGTTTTGATCCACAAACCCGGTACCATAAAATTCCCTTGGAGTTTTCTACAGCCTACAGGGTGTTGAATGTTTGCAGCAAATTAAAATAAAGTGCTGACTTTGTGTAAATTAAAAATGGAAAATTGATCTGAAATATTTCTTTTATTGATACTTTTCCCAACAAAGACAAAAGTTTTAAAAAAGATGTTTACTGAAAAAAAAAACAAGAAACGCAAACACATAATTTTCCTTTGCAATGAATTTTGAATTGTAATTAACTATAGCACTTTTAAGCCTATGTAAATAGCTTACTATGATTTTTGAATAGAAAAAAACATTTTCTGCCTAAAAGTAAATGTTATGTTTCTTTCATGAAGCAAATCAAAAAAGTCGGTACAATTTTATTAATAAAAGTGCGAAATATTTTCAGAAGATCTTTTTTATTTGATTACTTACAGTGAAATCTGATGAAGGATATCTTAATCGTAGACGTCATGCTTCAAAAATGATGCTTTGTATTTGCGAAGTCGTCAAAATACAGAGTATAGTATTTATTGGATCTAATATAAGTACGTCGAAAAGTTACAAATGGAATGACAACGTTAATACAACAACCAATTTTATTATTTGATGTTTTACATTATTAGGTGTTGCATCAGATGTTGAAGATGATGCAGATCAGATAATTAACTGTACTTTTTTCAGGCTCTCTCAGAGCACGCAACAAAGACGGCGAAAAATTTGGCATTCTCCATTCTACAAAAAGGACGCACATTTTTTATTTACGAATTCTATTAGTTGACGCATTTTAGAGAGATTTTTTTCGTTGTCTATAATAAGAAAATAGAATGAAATAAAATCCCGTTTCCATTTTACTTAAATTTATTATTTAATTTTAATACCTCCCCATGAAGTAGAAAACCATTAAAATAAAAAGATCGTTATCAAGAATTTATATTTCATTTAATATACAAATATATTATATTTTTTATAATTAAAAACATTTCATTTAAGAAATGCATAATCGTCTAACGACAATGTCAAATGGGAAACCAAAATTTATTTTTGTTATTCTTTTAAAATTGTCCTATGAAGAAAAAAGAGGATTGTACAAAGATAGTATGAACAGTAGTATTTATGTATAAAGTATTATGATTAATATAATACATTTAACGTATTTATAAATATAGAACATTTGAGAAGAGATAAGAAAAACTTTCGCCGTTATGTGTTCTTCTAACGGCTTCGGCAAACATCATAGAGACATCAATGCACTGTATTTTGGGACAATCTCTCATATGGCCATCCTGGGGAATAGTATTTGTAACAACCACAGCCTCAAAGCAGGCATTGTTTGTGCGAGAAATCGCTGGTCCAGAAAAGATACCATGTGTCAAAATATCATAAACCTTTGTAGCACCTGCTTCCACCAAACGATCGGCAGCATGAACAATTGTACCGCATGTATCGGCCATATCATCGACCAATACAGCAATTTTATCTTTGCAACTTCATTGGCCTTCTTGCGTTCTTTGTGAATCAGTGCGAATTCAACGTTCAAACGATCAGCAATGGACGTCACACGTTTAGCCCCACCAGCATCAGGTGAGACAATAATGGAATTCTTCCATTCTGTAATATTTTCTTTGATCCATTTTAGAACGGCTGGTTCAGCAAAAAGATTGTCCACGGGAATATCAAAGAAACCTTGAATTTGAGATGCATGCAAGTCCATAGTAATAATGTGATCTGCTCCGGCCACTGATAGCATATTTGCAACCAATTTCGCGGAAATTGGGGCGCGACTCATATATTTTTTATCTTGGCGAGCATATGGGAAACAAGGAATCACAGCTGTTACACGGGATGCTGATGCGATCTTGCAGGCATTGATCATGATCAGTAATTCCATCAAATTGTCATTAATCTCACCGGAACCAGATTGTACAATGTACACATCTTCACCGCGCACAGACTCACCAATTTCGACACATGTTTCCAAGTTGCTGAATTTATTGGTGACCACTTTGCCCAAATCGATACCCAAACGGTCGACAATCCTTTGAGCCAGATGTGGATGCGAAGTACCCGAAAACACTTTAATGGTTGGCATTCTTGTTTCTCCAATTTGCAGATTTTGTGCGTAGCTAAGTGTCAGATTGAACTGAGAAATGTGAGGTCTTTTATTGGTATTTCGAGGAACTACAAACGGAATGACATGGTTATAGCATGATGGAGGGTATTCGAAATAATATTGGTAGTTATAAGAATTTAATGCGTTGTTTAACTTTCCACCACCCTTTTTTATATTATAGGTTTCAAATCTATAAAGAAACATGAGCACGAAAACAGTGTGGTGAAAAACAACAGCGCATCTTTTGGTTAACCAATTTCAAGGAGTGATGAGTTAAAAAATGCATTTTATTCATATTACTACCAATATTATTTCGAATATCCTACATCATGCTATAACCTTTGTCATTCCGTTTGTATACCCTCGAAATACCTATGCAATAAGGCCAAAATTACAGTGAAACTCACGCAAATTTATCTTTACAAGTCTTTATATTTCAGTTGCTTTTTGAAAATAACTCCAACATGAGCAATTAAAAACTATAGTACAATCCATGGCCCAAAACAAAGTTTGTTTATTAGCGGGAAACGATGATAATGTTTACCAGGGGGAAATGACGGGAATACCTAGGTTTTGGAAAGAGAAAAAACAAAACAGACAAAACCAACTTACATGGTTATGCTACTTCGTTCATATAAAACGAAAGCATAGCAAGTTGAGAAAGATGAAAATGTTTAGAAGTGCGGTTGTAAGAATTAGAAGAATTTTTTTTTTGCTTTAATGTAATTCTTTGATTCCTCTTCTATTGGGCTTACGCACTTGTCACTTGGGTAAAAAATTGTCATAGATTTTTTTTTTTAAATAACTTCTGTTATTATTTTTAAAATAACTTCTGAGGAGAATATCACAGACAAAAAACCAGGGAACTGATGAGGATTGGTTGCTCTTTCCAAAAACTAGGTATTCCCTGCCTATCATCGGTAAACATTATCATCATTTCCCGCTAATAAACAAACTTTGTTTTTATAAAAACATCAATAAAGGGATTAAGCCTGACCATTTTGCAACAACAACATACTATGGTATCCCGAACAAACAAGCCAACGCTGTTCTGTTAATTACAATTCAAAATTGATTGCAAGAAAAAATTATGTGTTTGCGTTTTTTGTTTTTTTTTTTTTTCAGTAAAAATCCTTAATACTTTTGTCTTTGTTGGGAGAAGTATCAAAAAAGAAATATTCCAGATCAATTTTTCATTTTAAATTTCCACAAAAAAATAATGAATTATTTAAAGAAATCTCTCTTTTATTATATTCGATTTAACAAATATTTGTCTTATTTATTTGTTTCGTAAAACGTATGTTGCGATGGTGTTCACAATAAATAAATGCCATAAATAAAATAAACAAGCCGGCATTAGTTTTAACCGGCAATTATCGAACGCCAAACTGAAAATGAGCCGGATATGCGGGGTCTCCTGATTTGTGAAAAAAGGTAGTGCCAAGTTTGTGTTGATTTTTGCTGAGTAGATTCTTTAGATCGGCGTTAGAAAAATGCAGTTCTGTGCGTATGATTATGTTTAGTAGAACAGTCAAGTGAAGAAAAGTAAATAAATTTGGAAAATTGTGGGAAAATCGATGAGAAGGGGAAATTAGTCTTGGCGTCATTTTTTCCGTATAAAAGCGTAGAGATAACCAAAAGAAAGTCAGATTTTCTTGATGCGCTATAGAAAAAACAACATTTTATTTCGTTTGCCAAAATCGACCATTTGGAAAAAGTCGGCATTTAACAACGGTACAAAATTAAGTTTTATTGACGGGTTTATACGGCTGCGTGCCTTGCATTTATTCTCTTTATGTTGGATGGATAAAAATCATAGATGTAAGTTGAAATTGTGGTGTTGTCTAATGTTGGTCGTAACAAGTGTTGTGTCCCTTCCATTTAAGATTCCATCAGATTGCAAGCCATTACGAGGCCTTCCAACAGTTTACGCGGAAGGTCGCCTTGTTTAAACCGGCCATATGCCATAGAAAAATTTGTGTCGACATCTAAGTTGCAGCAAGCCAGCAGATTGATGCGACAGGGTCCGTTATGACAGAAAAGAGCCATATAATTACCGCCGACATAAGTTCCCACAAGCCAATTAAGTATCTGGTCAACCAGGTAACGAAGATAAAGAATTTTTAAATAGTTATCTCAGGTTAAGTGGAACCGGAACCGTAGTGCTTTATCAACGGATGTGAGGCGACCGTTAACCAATCTGAAATAAATTAACAAGGAAATTAATATATTATTAATTGATTTGACATTAAGTCCGAGAAAAAAAAAACTAACCTAAAATCAAAAATTAAAAAAAGAAACTATAGTATTAATATAATGTTTTAGAAATAAGTTGTGTTGTTTAGTAGTTAATACTCGTTTATGTTTTAATCTAAGTATTATTATTGTGAGGAGAATTAATGCCACGAAACTCGTTCGACGTGAGTGAAGGAACACCCTCAACGTTCAACTAGGTTTAGACGAAACGTTTTTTCTTTTAGACAGGTTAAAGAAATGTCTAGCCCTACCTAATCGAGCTCCATTAGGCAGAATACCTTAGATTAGTAAAAATAGCCCGAGTTGGCCAAATACCTAGTGTGAAGATTGTTGTCGTCCCGAATATTGACTCACATTGCTCGTGTTGTTTGGTGTTAATAATCCATTAAGAGACCATGATAAAGGCAATGTCAATAAATGTATATGTTTAAGTGTTTAAATTAATTATCATGTCTTTCTAACTTGAGTGTGAGAGAGGGAAGGAAGGGTATGTTATAGGTGAAAAAGTGTGTGTGGCAAATGGGGCCATTGAAACAAATGAGAAAGGATACGAAGAGTCAAGGTTGGGTGGGCAGAGTGGAGGAGTCATAACCACCAAGCTCCTTTGCCATGAGTGCGTGTCGTGTTTGTGATCGTGTTGTTTTATTTGTGTTTTTCCCCCTTTACATTGGTTGTTAGTCCCCTAGGCCTGAAGGTAGAAGGGTTGAGAACCCCCTGAGAGTTGCACTCCTGAGCTAGATGGAACCCCACCTGAAGCACCACTGTAGGCGGTACATAACAATATGGCGCCCAATTCTGAAACTAGAATGTCTAATCGCCAAAACATAAGTCCAAGAATTATAATATCCAAAAGTAATAACCCCTGCTTGAGTTCTGGGAAATAGAGGCAAGACTTAAGGCGAAGACATGTAATGCAATTCTGTGATATAACATCTACTCATAGAACAATAACCCATAGGATGAAATAGATACAAACGAGTGTCACATTTTCTTACCAACCTAACTTTTATTGCAACCACCGTTTAAAGTAACTGTGATTAAAGTGCAATTTAAGTATAGATAGATAGTAAATTAGGATAATCAATTCAATCAATAGGGTCTGTGCAATAACTCATTGTTCGTGATGTGTAAAAAAGAAAGTATTGTTTTTATGACCTATCTTTTTTTTTTTTTTTTGTATTCCGTTTAGTTAATGTAGTATAAATAGACCAAGGATAGTATAGAGGAAAGCGATATCTGCTGTGATGCAAACAAAAAAATCATAGACTGTATCGTGAAATATTTCTCGTTTCACAAAATCTTTTTCCTATAGCTTTCTTAGGAGAATGTGTGATACTAGCCTTTCAAAATGTGTTAAGTCTTTTGTCAATCAACCCTATTTAACGCACTGTGGCAACCCATATGGGACACTAAAACTATAATAAAAAATAAAAAATATATATATATATATATATATTACCCACACACAAACCCCTGATAGCTGAGATTGCCCTTCACGAACTCTCACATAGTGGAATTGTTTTTCGTATAACTTGTTTTTATTGTTGTATTTTTTTATAATACCTGTGTAATTGTTATAAACGCATATTTCATTCAATATATTTGTTGTAAAAATTTAACTCATAGTAATTAGTTTTATTTCTACTACCTATAAGTATTTTTTTACCTTTGTATAATCCCTGTTGGAAAGTAGTTACTAATAGTATAAATCGATAACTTAGATTAAAAGTAGCATTAAATTATAATTTATGTCCACGAGAGTATACTAATCAACCATAGATTTGTTAGGATCTTATAAGTGATTTTTATCCAACCTAATGAGCGAATCTGCGTCTAGCAAAAGGCGCAGCAAAAGAAATCGATCAATAACGTTTGACTTAAGCCGATCTTCTATACAGTCCCCAAAGAAGAAAAAAAATACGACCAAGGGAACAAATTCCAAAATGCAAAATTCAAACGCCAACGTCGATCCGAGTTTCTGCGATATGTCCACTACTATAAATAATCCTAATCCCAGCACAAGCGCTGCTGCAGGATTACCTGCGATTAATGCAACACCTAATTTACCGCCCATTAATCCACTGGAAGTAGCCCAGCTTGTAAGGAGTCTAGTTCAAGAAAGTTTGAATCATGCCCAGGCAAATTTACACTCCTAGTACAGGCTAGCGTTACAAAAGAATTAGAGAAGGTATACGCTGGCATATACAAATTAAATAACGCAGTAGCATCCTTAACGATAGGCAGACAGACCTCTCCACCAAACCCCCAAAACATAACCCAACCAAATACCAACCCACAAAATACAAACCCACAAAATCAAAACCCACAAACAATCCCGGCCAACGATTCGTGGCACCAACAGCTACCCTCGAATAGGAATCGCAGAAACACTGTGACACCAACAGTAATGAGCAATGTCAGTAGTCAGGGTATAAAAATTGAACGATTTGGAATTAATTTCTCGGGTAGGCCTAACAGTCTGGCTGTAGAAGACTTTATATATCGTTTAGAATATTTTCAAAAACAGTACAATTTGGAATGGGAGGATATCTTGGGAGAGTTCCACATATCAGTCTCAGGACCTGCTCACGAGTGGGGAGTCATTAAAATATTCCTTAGTTGAAAGATTTAAGACACGGCGAACATGTTTCGAAGAAATGCGTGATCTTTTAGAACGCAAGCAATTGCCGCGAGAGTCGATTGACGCGTTCTTTCATGATATTAATTTGATGAGGTCCAGGTTGGAAAAGCCTGTCTCTGAATTCGAAATGATCTCTCTCGTAAAGAAGAATTTAAGAAAGAATCTGTCAGGTATAGTTTATTCTATGAAAGTCTCGTCTTTAGAGCAATTAAGGGTAGAATGTCTGGAAGTGGAAAGGACATTTTTTCGCAAGAATCCTGTACCAATCCAGCACCCAACGAATAATAGACCTATACATGTCAACGCTATACAAGAGGAAGAAGAAGATATAGATAATTTTCCCATTATAGATGACTCAGATGAGGTGGTAGAGCTCGCCGCTATTACTACCCAACTAGTATGCTGGAATTGCCGAAAACCTGGTCGTGGGTTTAGGGATTGTCCTTCTACACAAAGAAATTTATTTTGTTTTAAATGTGGTAAACCTAACACTACTACGCCAAAATGTGTGAATTGCAGATCGGGAAACGGGAGGAAGAACCTGATTGCAGCGGGGAATCAGCGTTCATCCGAACAGTCCGCGCTCCAGAACTCCCAAAAATTAGGGAACAGAATTATAATGCAACAAAAGCCAGAATTTTTCATGAAAATTATGTTGGGTGTACTGACAAAAATCCAGCTGCTAACTCAAACCATGAGCTAGTAACTAAAAATAAACAAAGAATCGAATAACTTAGACTAAGACACAAGCAAAATAAGGCAATAAAAAAGGCTGTATCTGAAGCCCTTGTAAGAACCCAATATGGAAAAGATCCGAGACCTTATGTCTTAGTCCAAATACAAGGCGGGGAAATAAAAGGTCTGTTAGACTCAGGAGCTACCGTAAGTTTATTAGGTAAGCATTGTAGAGAGATTGTAGAAGAGATAGGAATAGAAGTCAAACCCTATACCTCAAACGTCAGTACTGCCTCCGGGAAAATCCATCGTATACTGGGAATAATCGAAGTGGATGTTGAGTATCAACAAGAAATTTCAAGAATGTCCCTCTTTCTGTGTCCAGACTTAGAGCAAGACCTGTATCTAGGCATAGATTTCTGGAAGTTGTTTAAAATTGAACCAGAAATCGTCCCAGTGGAAGAAATTGATATAGCAATACAACAGAAAATTCGCGGAGATGCTAAGAACGAAAACACGAATATGCACCAGTTAAATGGAGACCAACAACAGGCACTTGCAAACGTGGTAAACAAGTTCATAACGTTTGAAAAGAACGGATTGGGCTGCACTAAATTAGAAAGACATAGCATTAAACTAATGGAAAGTGCAAATCCGGTTAAGGACAAGCACTACCCTTTGTCGCCTGCCATGCAGGAAATAGTGTACAAGGAAATTGATAATATGCTCGCTCTGAACGTGATCGAGGAAAGCGATTCGCCATAGAGCAACAGAACTACAGTTGTTTGAAAACCCGACAAGAATAGATTCTGCCTAGATGCGCGAAAACTTAATGCATTGACGGTGAAAGACGCATATCCTCTACAAAACATAGACGGCATATTAAGTAGGATAGACCAAACACATTACATAAGTAGCGTCGACCTAAAGTATGCGTTTTGGCAGATCGAACTGGAGGAAGAGGCCAAACCATACACCGCGTTCACGGTACCAGATCGACCGATCTACCAGTTCCGTGTAATGCCATTTGGTCTATGCAACGCTGCACAGAGGCTATGTCGATTAATGGATCGAGTGATACCAGGCAGACTAAAATCTAATGTATTTATTTATCTGGATGACCTCTTAATCATAGCCGATGATTTCGACAATTATATTCGATTACTTGGTGAGGTAGCAGAATGTCTTCGGAAGGCCAATTTGACCATTGGTTTAAAAAAATCCTTATTTTGTTTTCGACAGTTAAAATATCTTGGCTTCATAATTGGTAACGGGTGCCTAAAAACGGATCCTGATGAAGTAGGCGCCATTCTAAAAATACCAACACCAAAAACTCCAAGGGAAGTCAGAAGTTTCCTGGGTACCGCCGGTTGGTACAGACGATTTATAAGGGACTTCGCTAGCATATCTGCCGCACTTACAGATACTTTAAAAAAAGGACAAAAGTTCGCAATCACTCATCAGAGCATTAACATCCGCACCGGTACTCCGACATCCGGATTTCAAACGAGAATTTTATATACAGAGTGATGCCTCCGATTATGGAATCGGGGCAGTATTGTTCCAAAAGGACGATGATGGATGTGAAAACCCAATCGCATTCTACTCGCAGAAATTTAATGCATGTCAGAGAAATTATTCTGTTACGGAGAAGGAGTGTTTGGCCGCGGTTTTAACCGTCAAGAGATTCCGACCCTACGTCGATCTCATGAAATTTACTATAATTACGGACCATGCCAGTCTTAAGTGGTTGATGTCACTTTAGGATTTAAGTGGAAGGCTAGCCAGATGGTCGCTGCAACTGCAAGCGTTTGACTTTACGATCGAACACCGCAAAGGTTCGGAAAACGTAGTAGCAGATACTCTTTCTAGGATGCCAATACAATCAGATGTAACAGTAGAAGAAATCACTGCGGAAGATATTCTCGACTTTGAAACCACCGCATTCGAAAGCGAAGAATATGTCGGATTGCGAAATACGATAGAGGAAAACCAAGAGCAACTTCCAGATTTAAAAGTGGACAAAGAAAAATATTTATAAAGGTGAAACATTTTGAACCAGAAACCACTGAGTTTGAATGGAAATTATGGATACCTGAAGAAATCACATATGCCCTAATTGAAATGGCCCATAATTACACTGGATCGATCCATGATGGTATACATAAAACAGTAAACCGACTTAAGACTTTTTATTATTGGCCAAAAATGACCTCCCAAGTAAGGCAATATATAACCAATTGCCAAATATGCAAAGAAACCAAGCCTGCAAACCAAATAATGCGCCCTAATATCGGAAATGAAGTAATTACTGAAAGACCCTTTCAGAAACTATATATAGGTTTCCTTGGTAAATACCCAACATCTAAAAAGGGAAATGCATATATCTTCATTGTGGTCGACCACTTCACTAAATTCACTTTTCTGCATGCAATGAAAGAAACTACTTCCAAAAATGTAGTAAATTTCCTAGAAAATCAAGTGTATATGGAGTTCCAGAGATAGTACACAGCGATAACGGTAAGCAATTTACCTCAGCAAATTTTGAAGGAATGATAAAAACTTATAAAATTACCCACATCAAAACAGCTTACTACTTCCCGCAGTCGAACGCGTCAGAGCGAGTCAACCAGTCTGTACTGGCAGCGATAAGCGAACTATAGCCCAGCTGAGAAAAAATCTCAGGGTGTGGGAGTTCCCCACGTTGGGACTGAAGAATGAAACATACCAAAAGTTTTTAATAAATAACAAAACAAAATGGGGGAACCAAATATTAGCATGTAAAATGTAAAAAAACGCCTGTAAATTTCTGGTAATAATCTCTCAAATACAAAACATCTATTCCCCCAATGTCAAAAAGGAGATACAATAGATTACAAAAAAAAAGCAATAAATAATATATAATGAACGAATTAAGGTATAAATGCAATATACATTATAATCAAATAAAAAGATCAATATTTGAGGTTAAAGCATGCACATGTTGGCAGTGTGAACTATACCAAGTTAGTCAAAATAATATTAAATTGCCATATCAAGTCACCAATGAATAAATTCTGAGGAAATCCCATGTTTACATACATTTCAGGAAGTGCATTAATCATAAGTACTAAATTTTAGGCAATAATATACGAAGGTTATTGGTTCCCTCCTCAATTTGTCAAATGACTTTCACTTTCAAACACCAATATGTTCATCCATAAATTATTATTATTATTATTATTATTGTAGCATGCTATAAACTGTAAAGCGACCATATCAAATACTAATCTATTGCCCAATATGATCTGACATTGATTTAATTTTTTTGGTGTGTATGTAAACCTTTCATAAAAAAAATAATTTTAATAAAACCGCATGGATTTTATTATACAAGAACGATCCATAAATTATTCACACATATATTAATTATTCAGCATAAATTTGTATCTTTCCATATTACCGCATACGAAAGAACCACAATGTGTTTTTATCGCATGCGATAAAAAAATATCCACGCACAAATGCCCCGCACAGCAAAGACACAGCTACGAAGTCGCAATACCAAAAAACAACCTTCTTGATATACTTCACACACTAAACCTCATATTGACCACTTGTGACAAAAAGGAAATAAACACTTACCTATTTGGGTTGGTAAAACTTTTTCCACGATGTGTTTCAAGAATGAGAAATAGTTGACAATCCTCAGGTATAAAAATATTTCGCTGTTTTTCGCAATGTATGTTCCTACTCCAAGGGGGTGACGCCGTTAACTGTCCATATACTGCTGTTACCAAACAAAAAATACCTATATAAAAAGAAACAAAATAACATTAATAAATGGTCAATAAAAATTCTTCAGCGATTACGATTGTGTGCATATAATGGTAAACATAATTTTCTCTTAAATGCACACACAACTATTACCGATGTCTTGTATCAATTTTTTTGTGATGGCAGGTAAATAAAAGAATTCACCTCCCATAAAATATGCTTGTCAAACAATTTAATTCCAACTATATATAAACAAACATTCAGGTATATACCTATTGGGTAATGATCATTTAAACCCTTAAATTTTTTAATATGGAGCTAGTAATGTTGTTAAGCATGAAGCAAATAAACACTCACCTATCCCAAATATCAGGCAAAAAGGATATATAAATTTGTATTCCTCTATAAAAAATTAAGTGGTATACTGCATCCACCTGGGAAATCCAAAATTATACCATTATAAAGCGATCATAAATATCTGCCTCAGGAGATGGGGTCTATGTTGAAAGGTTCGTGGCAAATCGTTGGGGTACCTAAAAAAAATTAAAAACCAACAATTAGAAATAGTAATAAAATCAACGATAGTTTAAGATTTTACCTGTACGTCCACTCATTGAGTTATCGGTCCAAGCTGTGCAGATAATTTGGGCACAAAGTAACAAGAACCATAAATGACATGTTTGCGTCCAATATGACCTCGAACGGAAAATACCTGTGTGCTAAGAGAATTCACTGCACGTTAAGGTGTAACAAGTCCCCCTATGGTATACCGTGATGAGCAGTATGCATAAACACACTCAAATGCGTTCTCCATAACCAGAAATCGTTCATTCATTGAATACATACATGTTGCGTTTACGAAACTCTAAGTGGAGTGAGTAATGTAAGCAGGTATGTGTGTGAATGAGACGGCCATCATCCGTAGGTTGAATGGTATGCATGCGGTGAATGCACACATGCTGCGTCAACGAAACTCTAATGCAAGCAAGTTTGTGTGCGAATGAGAAGAAGACAAATGGGCACACACACACAAGATGATGCAGATTATGTGGCGCCGACAGCGCTTCATTGAATGAAGCGTGGGTACACATACACGTATACCTGCATTAACGGTGATAGCTGAGACACCACATGGTAATTGACACACCACCATGTCAATGAGACAACAAAAACATTGAATATGTGTCCCGAGGGTAATCTGATTAATTCCGGCATAAAAAGATTGGCGGTAAAAAAATGTGTCATGGAAAAATATTTATTCTTATCAACTTACCTCCGGTCCACACATGAATTATCACAGAAAAACGAAGATTTTTCATAGTTCCATTTTTATTTTTTTTGTACTTCTACGTCGTCAAGTATGTTGGTGGTTAGAACACTTTCGTGCCCATTCACCATGACCGGTTATTGGTTACTTGAAAAGTATCAGTACTCTTTTATTATCGTTTTCTTTTTGTTTACAGTATATGTGTGTTTACAGAATGTAGTGATATGAATGGAATACACGAGAAATCAAAACAAAAAAAAAATCAAAACTAAAGGAAAAAATAAAGAACTGTAAGCAAATATGATGATTATTTACAAATAAAAGTCAAACTTCAATTTTGCAAAGTGCAATAAAGTTGATTAATTCATCTATATTTTGTTGGTTTTTGGACATCAGGATTTCCGGTAAGTTATTAAATTTCTTGAACAAATCAAAATCATTCCTATGATTTTGATGCTTTTTGCAGAAAAAAATTATGTGTTTTTCATCTTCAATTTCGTTGCAGGTTTCACAAAGATTTGAGTCAGCAATTCCAATCCTGTGGAAATATTTTTTGGTGTAAGTATGACCAGTGAGCAATCGATTAACAATCTTTATGTTTTCAGGTTTCATATTTGATGAAAAGAACCAGGACTGTTTAGCAGGCGCCGGGAAGAATTTGTAGAAGTAAGTTCCTTTAGTCCGTGAGATGTCCTTGTAATTTTCTATAAACTCATTCCACAGGAGTGACTCAATGCGTTTCGACGCATCTGTGACCGACAGACAGAAGTTGATTGGTGAACCAACATTTGCTGCATGCTTCGCAAAATAATCGGCTGTTTCATTGATTGGTATACCGACATGGGAAGGTGTCCAAACAAACGAGATTTTATTTAAATGCGAATTAACTATTTTGTTTAGAATATTGTACACAGTGAAATTGTGAGATGTGTTGTTTTTAAGCAGAAGACAAGCATTTTTGCTGTCTGTAAATAAAGCAGCTGTGCTGACACCGTCTTCGATCATCAAATCAATTGCCTTTTCAATTGCACATAGTTCACCAGTAAGAGAAGAAAGTTTTTCATTAATTTTGAAAACAAAATTTTGATTAGCAGATATATTGCAGACAGCGCAGCCTGTGTTGTTGTTAAAAACAGCAGCATCCGTCGCCCAAATAGAAACGCCTTCCGATCTGAAGTCGTTAATTAATTCGTAGTAGCGTGCTTTGAATTATTCTGTTGGTGTATTGTTTTTGGTAGTATTAAATATATCCAGCATGAAATCTACCTTGTTGGTCGGATGTTGATTGTAACCAATTTTGAGATTTTCAAAAATTGTGCGAAACTTTGCATAGACATATCCAAGACTAGTTTTTCTTGAGGTATTTGAGGTGAAGTATTCATACAGAGAAGAGTTGTATATTTTAAGTCTTATCAATTCTTTAGCCGCCAAATGTTGAGCTCTTAAATCTGTTGGTAGCATACTAGCAAGAGCGTATACCACATGATTTGGAGTGGAAGGCACCAGTCCCAAATTTTTTCTTAACAACTGATTTTGAAGGCTTGTTAGCTTCTTGTTTATATACATTGGTCTGTGAGCTATCGATGAGATTGCATATTCGGTCTTTGAAAAGATAAGTGATTTTGACAGGTTTATAGCTTTTGCGGGATGAATTCCACTTTTTGGACCCGTGAACATTTTTAAAGCATTAACAGTATTTCTGCAGGATATCATCACCTCTTCGTAGTGCTCCTTGAGTGATAGACTGTTTTAAATATGTCTCCCTAAAAATTTGATGGACTTAACAACATTTACTTGGACTCCATTTAGTAAAATGTTGGGATTTCTCCGACCTCCTTTAGCCACGTACATTACTGAAGTTTTCTCAACATTGACGTCAAGGTTTAGTTTTTTTAATAAGGATACCATGTTATTGGTTTTGATTTGTAAAATATTGTTGGCACTATCAAAGTCATGGCTTGCCACAAGCAAAATAAAATCATCCGCATATTGGAAAATGTTTGTGTTTTCATCAGCTAAACCATGGAGGCCTATTGTGTATAGGTTGAATAGTGTTGGGCTTAAACAACTGCCTTGAGGAATCCCATTGTATATATTTAGGGTGGAGTTTCCCATACAAAGAGTACTTTTGCAGAGGAAATTGATTATCCATAATCTTATTTGGAGTGGAATGTTTATTTCTATTAAAATCATCTTCAGGTAATTTATATCGACACACTCATAGGCTTTCGATACATCCATCGAGAGAACAATCACCTTGTCATTTTTTTCTTTGGAGGTGTTTATTGTGTGTAGTATGTCATTAATGCATGTTGAAGTTGACACATGTTTGCGGTATGCATAAGATCTAGGTGGAAGAGTATTATGTTCATCTAGAAAATCATTGAGCCTTTGTTTGCGGTATGCATAAGATCTAGGTGGAAGAGTATTATGTTCATCTAGAAAATCATTGAGCCTTTGTTTGACCATGAGGTTTAAAATCTTTGCCAGTACAGATATTAAAGCAATTGGCCGAAAATTTGTGCAGATGTCTAAATTTTTTCCTTTTTTCGGTATGGGAACAATTTTTATTCTCCTCCATTCTTCAAAAAACTCACAGTTTTTCCATTGATTATTAAAAGAATTCAAAAAGTGCTGCTTACTATCTTGGGATAGTTTATTAACCATTTCATAAGTGATTCCATCCAGACCAGCTGCAGATGGTTTAGTTTTTTGCTGTAGAACATTGTCTAGTTCTTCCATGGAGAAATTTGCAGATTGATTGTTATAAATTGAAGTGGATATAGTTTGTCTGTTGTTGGGAACCTGTTCACTCAAATGACGTAAGAAGGCTTCGTTGTTGTCAGTGTTCCATTTAGAAGCAAATTGGGGTTCGAAAACCGATTTACAGCTCTTTACATAACGGAAAAAGCGATTTTGAATTAGATAATTGGCTTAAATCTGACATTTTACAGCTTTTTTGAATTTAGATATAGCATTGATTGCACTTAGGGCATTTTCAGTGGTTTTGTATCTATCAAATTTCTGTTCTGCGGCCTCTTTTTGACGTAAGAGTATGTTAATGTCATTATTCCACCATGTTTGAAATTTTATTTCAGCAGTAATGAGAAAAGTTGAATTTTTTATTGTTGATTTTAGCTTCGATTGAATATCATTCATATTGGAATCAATTTTTAGATTTGATAAGTTTTTGAAGAGATGTTTTTATGCTAGGAAGTACTGTTGCTTTGATGTAAAATTATCTATGTTAATAAGGATTGGTCTGTGGTGGCTTCCTCCTATGCTTGTATTTTTTACATTCCAATTAAAGTTTGAAGACATATTTGTGAAGGTAAGATCTAACACAGAACCGAAAGAATTGTCAAATAGATTCTTTTTTAAGGTTGCTGAGCCATCATTAACACAACGAAATGCCGAACTGTCCATCAAGGTTTGCACAGCGGATCCTCGAACTGTGTCAAAAACGTCACCATATGCTTTACATCTTGCATTAAAATCCCCGCCAATAATGACATTTGATGTTCCATTTAGAAAGATTAAAAGTTTTGATACTTCAGTTTTTGAAACATTGGATTTTACAGAATGCGGAAAGTATACTGAGACAATCGTTAAATTTTGAGACAGGTTTGTAGTTTGACATATTAAGATGTCTAAATTCGATGCAAAAGGTAATTTTTTCATTTTAATAGTTTTTTTGTGCAGGATGGCAACGCCACCATAATTGTCGATTCTTTTTTTACAGAATAATCCATAATTGTTTACGTAAGATGATGATGCATTTTCATCTACATTAAAAATTTCGCTTAATGCTAGGAACACAATTGGAGCGAACGACGAATTTCGCCCTACGCGGCGACAAAATGAGCCGCGAAAATTCGTCGTATGGAACACAATACCGACGAAATTATAAAACAGCTGATGAAGTTGTTTACTTTTTGCTCATTTGTTGACTACAATGAAAATTATACAAGAACTCACAATTCTTTATAATTTCAGTTATGTCCATCTTCTCTATTATAAATTCACTGATATCCATCCTCACTCAGGCGCAAGTGCACAAATAAATAAACAAATTATTTATGTTTTTTTATACGAATAACAGATAGTAGAGTGACCATAACAAATTTTTAAGTAAAAAGTAACTTTATTTACTAAAACACATAAAATTCGTACAAGTATGGCCACCTTGTACTGTTTTGTCGCCGTTCGCCGGCGTATGAAATAGAAATAAAGCTAATTGAGTTCGGGGCGACCGACGAAATTTTCGCCGGCGCCGTGATTGTGTGTACTTCCATATACACATATGGTTTTTATTTTTGACGACGAACATACGCCGCGAAAAAATTCGTCGTTCGCTCCAATTGTGTTCCTAGCATAAGATGCATATATCGACAGAAAATTTGTTTAAGTAAAGTTCTAAATAATTTTTATTTTTATTCAAACTTTGTATGTTGTGCTGTAAGATTATCATGTTCGGTTTGGTTAGAACTGAAAGGTCCATCTATTGCTGGTGCTTTTAAGGCATTTGAAAAACTGTCTAAGATCTGTAATCCTTCTGTACACTTGGCATTGGTTAATGCGGCAGCCATTTGTTGAGTGAAAGTGGATAATATTTTTTCATACTCAGAAACATTGAAAAAATTTGAGAATTCAAAGGATGGTTTAGAGGGTACAATCGTTTCCTGTTCAGCTGTAATACGTGCTCTACGAGGTATTGATGCTGCTACTTTATTGTAATTGACTTTAGTTCTCCTTCTGTTGAGTTCATCATTGAAGGAAGTAACTGGTCTTCTGCTTGTTTTAGAAATTTGGGGAAATTGATTTTCATAATTTGGTTCATCTAAAATTTCAAAGTAACTGTTTGAAACTTTAGGGATACATTCTTTCCTTGAAAGGTTGGTGATTGCCATAGCCTCCAGAATATTTGTTTCATTGCTGTATCTTTTGCATTTTTTGACATCCATGGCATTGTGATCTTCCATGTTGCATAGTATACATCTGGGTAGAGTACAGTATGTTTTGCATTTAATTGTCGACAAACATGTATCACATTTTGGCTCTGTTCAGTTTATGGGACATTCAATGTTTATCCCGCAAAGAAGGCATCTTTTTTTGGCTCTACATTTTACGGCTATATGACCTAAACGACCGCAATTTTTACATAGGCGTACAAGTGGAATATATAAATCCGTCTCCACTATAGAGTTGAACATTTTAAGTTCTTTTACAACGTAGTCCGCTACAATACCTACTTTAATGGTTTGGGACGGCACATACTGACCATTTTCATTTTTGTATTTGAAACGATATACTGATACAGCTTTGAAATCATTGTCGCTGCTGTTGATTCGATCATATATCATTTTGCCAGTGAATTCTACTGGTACGGATTTAATAACATAAAATTTTTGTACAAATCTATCTGGGATAAAAGCATTCAAAGCAATAGATTTTACATTTGGATCCAAAACAAAATTATTTGCCGAGTTATAATTGTTGAAGCTCAGGCGGAAGGTTTTATATGCAATATTCTTTGATACAAATGAGCATTTATGTTGGCACTGGCTAATTTGGCATACAAATAAAATTCTGAGTTCTTTCTTCTAGGGCAAATGGGCTCATCAGAAGTAAGAAGTACATAATATGGAACTTGGATGGGCTGGGCTGTAAAGAATTGTTTGGTTTTCATAGTTATCATAGCTGTAAATATCTGTTTTGTTTGTGTTTTTGGGTATATTGGATGGATTGGAGGGATTGTTATTGTTGGAGTGACAGTTGTTAGTTGTGTTGGTGGAGATGGACTTTGTATCATTAAAATATTGATTTTCATATGGTGTGAGAGTGGTGTTTTCTTTTGCTGGTGTTGTTTTTGCAGAGCACTGCGGCATTTTATTTTGCATAGAAGGCAGATTATTTTTAAACTTCTTGCTTCCAGTGTTGCTAAAAAGCTCAATTCTTTTCCTCGGGTCTAAACGAGGAGGCGGCTCCTCATCACCCATTTTCGCAGAAAATTGTATATTCTGTTGAAATTAGGAATATTAAATTTCAGCAAAATCACCAAATAAAATAATGTTTGTGTTATTGGTTAGATGGAAGGAATGTGTGTATTTGTGTGTGTATTAGTGTTCAAAGCAAAACAAACAAAACGCATAAAAAAGAAAGCGAAACGGCGCGCACGTAGTCTAAAGTCAACGAGAGTTGAGAGACGACTGAGTTCCATTTTTATGCAGGTAAAAGAAAATAGACTGGCTAGAACCGAAACCCCGTACATCGAAATTTTCTGCGATACACTTGCTAATTTCGAAGTTTTGTTGCGGTGGTGTTCACAATAAATAAATGCCATGGCGCAATAAAATAAACAAGCCGGCATTAGTTTTAACCGGCAATGATCGAACGCCAAACTGAAAATGAGCCGGATATGCGGGGTCTCCTGATTTGTGAAAAAAAGGTAGTGCCAAGTTTGTGTTGATTTTTGCTGAGTCGATTCTTTTAGATCGGCGTTAGAAAAATGCAGTTCTGTGCGTATGATTATGTTTAGTAGAACAGTCAAGTGAAGAAAAGTAAATAAATTTGGAAAATTGTGGGAAAATCGATGAGAAGGGGAAATTAGTCTTGGCGTCATTTTTCCCGTATAAAAGCGTAGAGATAACCAAAAGAAAGTCAGATTTTCTTGATGCGCTATAGAAAAAACAACATTTTATTTCGTTTGCCAAAATCGACCATTTGGAAAAAGTCGGCATTTAACAACGGTACAAAATTAAGTTTTATTGACGGGTTTATACGGCTGCGTGCCTTGCATTTATTCTTTTTATGTTGGATGGATAAAAATCATAGATGTAAGTTGAAATTGTGGTGTTGTCTAATGTTGGTCGTAACAAGTGTTGTGTCCCTTCCATTTAAGATTCCATCAGATTGCAAGCCATTACGAGGCCTTCCAACAGTTTACGCGGAAGGTCGCCTTGTTTAAACCGGCCATATGCCATAGAAAAATTTGTGTCGACATCTAAGTTGCAGCAAGCCAGCAGATTGATGCGACAGGGTCCGTTATGCCAGAAAAGAGCCATATAATTACCGCCGACATAAGTTCCCACAAGCCAATTAAGTATCTGGTCAACCAGGTAACGAAGATAAAGAATTTTTAAATAGTTACCTCAGGTTAAGTGGAACCGGCACCGTAGCGCTTTATCAACGGATGTGAGGCGACCGTTAACCAATCTGAAATAAATTAACAAGGAAATTAATATATTATTAATTGATTTGACATTAAGTCCGAGAAAAAAAAAACTAACCTAAAACCAAAAATTAAAAAAAGAAACTATAGTATTAATATAATGTTTTAGAAATAAGTTGTGTTGTTTAGTAGTTAATACTCGTTTATGTTTTAATCTAAGTATTATTATTGTGAGGAGAATTAATGCCACGAAACTCGTTCGACGTGAGTGAAGGAACACCATCAACGTTCAACTAGGTTTAGACGAAACGTTTTTTCTTTTAGACAGGTTAAAGAAATGTCTAGCCCTACCTAATCGAGCTCCATTAGGCAGAATACCTTAGATTAGTAAAAATAGCCCGAGTTGGCCAAATACCTAGTGTGAAGATTGTTGTCGTCCCGAATATTGACTCACATTGCTCGTGTTGTTTGGTGTTAATAATCCATTAAGAGACCATGATAAAGGCAATGTCAACAAATGTATATGTTTGAGTGTTTAAATTAATTATCATGTCTTTCTAACTTGAGTGTGAGAGAGGGAAGGAAGGGTATGTTATAGGTGAAAAAGTGTGTGTGGCAAATGGGGCCCTTGAAACAAATGAGAAAGGATACGAAGAGTCAAGGTTGGGTGGGCAGAGTGGAGGAGTCATAACCACCAAGCTCCTTTGCCATGAGTGCGTGTCGTGTTTGTGATCGCGTTGTTTTATTTGTGTTTTTCCCCCTTTACATTGGTTGTTAGTCCCCTAGGCCTGAAGGTGGAAGGGTTGAGAACCCCCTGAGAGTTGCACTCCTGAGCTAGATGGAACCCCAACTGAAGCACCACTGTAGGCGGTACATAAGAATATGACGCCCAATTCTGAAACTAGAATGTCTAATCGCCAAAACATAAGTCCAAGAATTATAATATCCAAAAGTAATAACCCCTGCTTGAGTTCTGGGAAATAGAGGCAAGACTTAAGGCGAAGACCTGTAATGCAATTCTGTGGTATAACATCTACTCATAGAACAATAACCCATAGGATGAAATAGATACAAACGAGTGTCACATTTTCTTACCAACCTAACTTTTATTGCAACCACCGTTTAAAGTAACTGTGATTAAAGTGCAATTTAAGTATAGATAGATAGTAAATTAGGATAATCAATTCAATCAATAGGGTCTGTGCAATAACTCATTGTTCGTGATGTGTAAAAAAGAAAGTATTGTTTTTATGACCTATCTTTTTTTTTTTTTTTGTATTCCGTTTAGTTAATGTAGTATAAATAGACCAAGGATAGTATAGAGGAAAGCGATATCTGCTGTGATGCAAACAAAAAAATCATAGACTGTATCGTGAAATATTTCTCGTTTCACAAAATCTTTTTCCTATAGCTTTCTTAGGAGAATGTGTGATACTAGCCTTTCAAATGTGTTAAGTCTTTTGTCAATCAACCCTATTTAACGCACTGTGGCAACCTATATGGACACTAAAACTATAATAAAAAATAAAAAAAATATATATATATATATATTACCCACACACAAACCCCTGATAGCTGAGATTGCCCTTCACGAACTCTCACATAGTGGAATTGTTTTTCGTATAACTTGTTTTTATTGTTGTATTTTTTTATAATACCTGTGTAATTGTTATAAACGCATATTTCATTCAATATATTTGTTGTAAAAATTTAACTCATAGTAATTAGTTTTATTTCTACTACCTATAAGTATTTTTTTACCTTTGTATAATCCCTGTTGGAAAGTAGTTACTAATAGTATAAATCGATAACTTAGATTAAAAGTAGCATTAAATTATAATTTATGTCCACGAGAGTATACTAATCAACCATAGATTTGTTAGGATCTTATAAGTGATTTTTATCCAACCTAATGAGCGAATCTACGTCTAGCAAAAGGCGCAGCAAAAGAAATCGATCAATAACGTTTGACTTAAGCCGATCTTCTATACAGTCCCCAAAGAAGAAAAAAATACGCCCAAAGGAACAAATTCCAAAATGCAAAATTCAAAAGCCAACGTCGATCCTAGTTTCTGCGATATGTCCACTACTATAAATAATCCTAATCCCAGCACAAGCGCTGCTGCAGGATAACTTCCGATTAATGCAACACCTAATTTACCGCCCATTAATCCACCGGAAATAGCCCAGCTTGTAAGGAGTCTAGTTCAAGAAAGTTTGAATCATGCCCAGGCAAATTTACACTCCCTAGTACAGGCTAGCGTTACAAAAGAATTAGAGAAGGTATACGCTGGCATAGACAAATTAAATAACGCAGTAGCATCCTTAACGATAGGCAGACAGACCTCTCCACCAAACCCCCAAAACATAACCCAACCAAATACCAACCCACAAAATACAAACCCACAAAATCAAAACCCACAAACAATCCCGGCCAACGATTCGTGGCACCAACAGCTACCCTCGAATAGGAATCGCAGAAACACTGTGACACCAACAGTAATGAGCAATGCCAGTAGTCAGGGTATAAAAATTGAACGATTTGGAATTAATTTCTCGGGTAGGCCTAACAGTCTGGCTGTAGAAGACTTTATATATCGTTTAGAATATTTTCAAAAACAGTACAATTTGGAATGGGAGGATATCTTGGGAGAGTTCCACATATCAGTCTCAGGACCTGCTCACGAGTGGGGAGTCATTAAAATATTCCTTAGTTGAAAGATTTAAGACACGGCGAACATGTTTCGAAGAAATGCGTGATCTTTTAGAACGCAAGCAATTGCCGGGAGAGTCGATTGACGCGTTCTTTCATGATATTAATTTGATGAGGTCCAGGTTGGAAAAGCCTGTCTCTGAATTCGAAATGATCTCTCTCGTAAAGAAGAATTTAAGAAAGAATCTGTCAGGTATAGTTTATTCTATGAAAGTCTCGTCTTTAGAGCAATTAAGGGTAGAATGTCTGGAAGTGGAAAGGACATTTTTTCGCAAGAATCCTGTACCAATCCAGCCCCCAACGAATAACAGACCTATAGATAATAGATAATTTTCCCGTTATAGATGACTCAGATGAGGTGGTAGAGCTCGCCGCTATTACTACCCAACTAGTATGCTGGAATTGCAAAAAACCTGGTCGTGGGTTTAGGGATTGTCCTTCTACACAAAGAAATTTATTTTGTTTTAAACGTGGTAAACCTAACACTACTGCGCCAAAATGTGTAAATTGCAGATCGGGAAACGGGAGGTAGAACCTGATTGCAGCGGGGAATCAGCGTTCATCCGAACAGTCCGCGCTCCAGAACTCCCAAACGAGTCAGTAATTAGTAGTGAGTCAGCCCGTTTTTTCCAAAATTCGGCACTATATCCCCTTAGAGATTAGGGAACAGAATTATAATGCAACAAAAGCCAGAATTTTTCATGAAAATTATGTTGGGTGTACTGACAAAAATCCAGCTGCTAACTAAACCATGAGCTAGTAACTAAAAATAAACAAAGAATCGAATAACTTAGACTAAGACACAAGCAAAATAAGGCAATAAAAAAGGCTGTATCCGAAGCCCTTGTAAGAACCCAATATGGAAAAGATCCGAGACCTTATGTCTTAGTCCAAATACAAAGCGGGGAAATAAAAGGTCTGTTAGACTCAGGAGCTACCGTAAGTTTATTAGGTAAGCATTGTAGAGAGATTGTAGAAGAGATAGGAATAGAAGTCAAACCCTATACCTCAAACGTCAGTACTGCCTCCGGGAAAATCCATCGTATACTGGGAATAATCGAAATGGATGTTGAGTATCAACAAGAAATTTCAAGAATGTCCCTCTTTCTGTGTCCAGACTTAGAGCAAGACCTGTATCTAGGCATAGATTTCTGGAAGTTGTTTAAAATTGAACCAGAAATCGTCCCAGTGGAAGAAATTGATATAGCAATACAACAGAAAATTCGCGGAGATGCTAAGAACAAAAACACGAATATGCACCAGTTAAATGGAGACCAACAACAGGCACTTGCAAACGTGGTAAACAAGTTCATAACGTTTGAAAAGAACGGATTGGGCTGCACTAAATTAGAAAAACATAGCATTAAACTAATGGAAAGTGCAAATCCGGTTAAGGACAAGCACTACCCTTTGTCGCCTGCCATGCAGGAAATAGTGTACAAGGAAATTGATAATATGCTCGCTCTGAACGTGATCGAGGAAAGCGATTCGCCATGGAGCAACAGAACTACAGTTGTTTGAAAACCCGACAAGAATAGATTCTGCCTAGATGCGCGAAAACTTAATGCATTGACGGTGAAAGACGCATATCCTCTACAAAACATAGACGGCATATTAAGTAGGATAGACCAAACACATTACATAAGTAGCGTCGACCTAAAGTATGCGTTTTGGCAGATCGAACTGGAGGAAGAGGCCAAACCATACACCGCGTTCACGGTACCAGATCGACCGATCTACCAGTTCCGTGTAATGCCATTTGGTCTATGCAACGCTGCACAGAGGCTATGTCGATTAATGGATCGAGTGATACCAGGCAGACTAAAATCTAATGTATTTATTTATCTGGATGACCTCTTAATCATAGCCGATGATTTCGACAATTATATTCGATTACTTGGTGAGGTAGCAGAATGTCTTCGGAAGGCCAATTTGACCATTGGTTTAAAAAAATCCTTATTTTGTTTTCGACAGTTAAAATATCTTGGCTTCATAATTGGTAACGGGTGCCTAAAAACGGATCCTGATGAAGTAGGCTCCATTCTAAAAATACCAACACCAAAAACTCCAAGGGAAGTCAGAAGTTTCCTGGGTACCGCCGGTTGGTACAGACGATTTATAAGGGACTTCGCTAGCATATCTGCCGCACTTACAGATACTTTAAAAAAAGGACAAAAGTTCAAAATCACTCATCAGAGCATTAACATCCGCACCGGTACTCCGACATCCGGATTTCAAACGAGAATTTTATATACAGTGTAAAGCCTCCGATTATGGAATCGGGGCAGTATTGTTCCAAAAGGACGATGATGGATGTGAAAACCCAATCGCATTCTACTCGCAGAAATTTAATGCATGTCAGAGAAATTATTCTGTTACGGAGAAGGAGTGTTTGGCCGCGGTTTTAGCCGTCAAGAGATTCCGACCCTACGTCGATCTCATGAAATTTACTATAATTACGGACCATGTCAGTCTTAAGTGGTTGATGTCACTTTAGGATTTAAGTGGAAGGCTAGCCAGATGGTCGCTGCAACTGCAAGCGTTTGACTTTACGATCGAACACCGCAAAGGTTCGGAAAACGTAGTAGCAGATACTCTTTCTAGGATGCCCATACAATCAGATGTAACAGTAGAAGAAATCACTGCGGAAGATATTCTCGACTTTGAAACCACCGCATTCGAAAGCGAAGAATATGTCGGATTGCGAAATACGATAGAGGAAAACCAGAGCAACTTCCAGATTTAAAAGTGGACAAAGAGAAAATATTTATAAAGGTGAAACATTTTGAACCAGAAACCACTGAGTTTGAATGGAAATTATGGATACCTGAAGAAATCACATATGCCCTAATTGAAAAGGCCCATAATTACACTGGATCGATCCATGATGGTATACATAAAACAGTAAACCGACTTAAGACTTTTTATTATTGGCCAAAATGACCTCCCAAGTAAGGCAATATATAACCAATTGCCAAATATGCAAAGAAACCAAGCCTGCAAACCAAATAATGCGTCCTAATATCGGAAAAGAAGTAATTACTGAAAGACCCTTTCAGAAACTATATACAGATTTCCTTGGTAAATACCCAAGATCTAAAAAGGGAAATGCATATCTTCATAGTTGTCGACCACTTCACTAAATTCACTTTTCTGCATGCAATGAAAGAAGCTACTTCCAAAAATGTAGTAAATTTCCTAGAAAATCAAGTGTTTCGGGTATTTGGAGTTCCAGAGATAGTACACAGCGATAACGGTAAGCATTTTACCTCAGCAAATTTTGAAGGAATGATAAAAACGTATAAAATTACCCACATCAAAACAGCTTACTACTTCCCGCAGTCGAACGCGTCAGAGCGAGTCAACCAGTCTGTACTGGCAGCGATAAGCGAACTATAGCCCGGCTGAGAAAAAATCTCAGGGTGTGGGAGTTCCCCACGTTGGGACTGAAGAATGAAACATACCAAAAGTTTTTAATAAATAACAAAACAAAATGGGGGAACCAAATATTAGCATGTAAAATGTAAAAAAAAACGCCTGTAAATTTCTGGTAATAATCTCTCAAATACAAAACATCTATTCCCCCAATGTCAAAAAGGAGATACAATAGATTACAAAAAAAGCAATAAATAATATATAATGAACGAATTAAGCTATAAATGCAATATACATTATAATCAAATAAAAAGATCAATATTTGAGGTTAAAGCATGCACATGTTGGCAGTGTGAACTATACCAAGGTAGTCAAAATAATATTAAATTGCCATATCAAGCCACCAATGAATAAATTCTGAGGAAATCCCATGTTTAGATACTTTTCAAGAAGTGCATTAATCATAAGTACTAAATTTTAGGCAATAATATACGAAGGTTATTGGTTCCCTCTTCAATTTGTCAAATGACTTTCACTTTCAAACACCAATATGTTCATCCACAAATTATTATTATTATTGTAGCATGCTATAAAATGTAAAGCGACCATATCAAATACTAATCTATTGCCCAATATGATCTGACATTGATTTAATTTTTTTGGTGTGGATGTAGACCTTTCATAAAAAAAATAATTTTAATAAAACCGCATGGATTTTATTATACAAGAACGATCCATAAATTATTCACACATATATTAATTATTCAGCATAAATTTGTATCTTTCCATATTACCGCATACGAAAGAACCACAATGTGTTTTTATCGCATGCGATAAAAAAAATATCCACGCACAAATGCCCCGCACAGCAAAGACACAGCTACGAAGTCGCAATACCAAAAAACAACCTTCTTGATATACTTCACACACTAAACATGATATTGACCACTTGTGACAAAAAGGAAATAAACACTTACCTATTTGGGTTGGTAAAACTTTTTCCACGATGTGTTTCAAGAATGAGAAATAGTTGACAATCCTCAGGTATAAAAATATTGCGCTGTTTTTCGCAATGTATGTTCCTACTCCAAGGGGGTGACGCCGTTAACTGTCCATATACTGCTGTTACCAAACAAAAAATACCTATATAAAAAGAAACAAAATAACATTAATAAATGGTCAATAAAAAATTCTTCAGCGATTACGATTGTGTGCATATAATGGTAAACATAATTTTCTCTTAAATGCACACACAACTAAGACAACCGATGTCTTGTATCATTTTTTTTGTGATGGCAGGTAAATAAAAGAATTCACCTCCCATAAAATATGCTTGTCAAACAATTTAATTCCAACTATATATAAACAAACATTCAGGTATATACCTATTGGGTAATGATCATTTAAACCCTTAAATATTTTAATATGGAGCCAGTAATGTGGTTAAGCATGAAGCAAATAAACACTCACCTATCCCAAATATCAGGCAAAAAGGATATATAAATTTGTATTCCTCTATAAAAAAAATTAAGTGGTATACTGCATCCACCTGGGAAATCCAAAATTATACCCTTATAAAGCGATCATAAATATCTGCCTCAGGAGATGGGGTCTATGTTGAAAGGTTCGTATCAAATCGTTGGGGTACCTAAAAAAAATTAAAAACCAACAATTAGAAATAGTAATAAAATCAACGATAGTTTAAGATTTTACCTGTACGTCCACTCATTGAGTTATCGGTCCAAGCTGTGCAGATAATTTGGGCACAAAGTAACAAGAACCATAAATGACATGTTTGCGTCCAATATGACCTCGAACGGAAAATACCTGTGTGCAAAGAGAATTCATTGCACGTTAAGGTGTAACAAGTCCCCCTATGGTATACCGTGATGAGCAGTATGCTTGTGTGGTCACTTGGTTTCCAATGTCCCAATCGATTCAAATGATGCCTTGATAGTAGATGAAATCCATTCTGAAAAGAAAACAAAAAATATTAACAAACGAAATATTCGTATGGAAATAGCAACAGTCACTTACCATAAACACACTCAAATGCGTTCTCCACAACCAGAAATCGTTCATTCATTGAATACATACATGTTGCGTTTACGAAACTCTAATTGGAGTGAGTAATGTAAGCAGGTATGTGTGTGAATAAGACGGCCATCATCCGTAGGTTGAATGGTATGCATGCGGTGAATGCACACATGCTGCGTCAACGAAACTCTAATTGGAGTAGAGTAATGCAAGCAAGTATGTGTGCGAATGAGAAGAAGACAAATGGACACACACACAAGATGATGCAGATTATGTGGCGCCGACAGCGCTTCATTGAATGAAGCGTGGGTACACATACACGTATACATTGAATATGCCCAGTAAACAATTTTTGCCGAATTCGGTCCGATTTCTGTCAGAATCTCTGAAAAAATGTCCGATTCTGATTCCGAATTCCTTCCGATTTCGGTACGAAAGTTGTATGGACGTGGTCACCGAATTCGGAAAGATTTTCTGAAAAAAATCTGAAAAAATATTAGATTTTCTGGACGAATTCGGTCCGAATTCTGTGAAAATTCTTGAAAAAATAGGAGAAAAAATTAGATTTTCGGAAAAGATTCGGAGGACAACTCCGAATTTCTGAAAGAAATCGGGCAGAATTCGTCTGGAAATTCGGCGGAATATTCAGATTTTCTGAAAGAAATCGGTCAGAATTCGAAAGAAAATTCGGAATAAAATTCAGATTTTCTGAAAAAAAAAAAACGCTCAGAATTCCGGAGAAAGTTCCGATTTTCTGAAAGAAATCGTTCAGAATTCGGAAGAAATATCGAAAAAATCGTCACACCACTTAAAAATGAAAAAAAAAAAAAACACATATTTATGTAAAAAACAAACAATTTATTTCGGGTTTCGTAAAAATGTAGTTTAAATATTACATCTATAATACATTTACATTAAAAATATTATTTTTATTAGGAACATAACATACAGTAGCACGTTTCTGTTTCAACTGCTAAACAAGAACTAAAAATAAAAAGCAGTGCACACAGAAAACCGGTATGTAGTTGTTTTTGCAATTTTTTTCCATCATATTTTTTTGGGAACGAAAGAGAAAGAGGCTGATTCACAACAACAACAAAACGCACATTTTTACAACGGAAAATCTAACAGTTCACAATAACAATAACAATGAGATCTTGAAATGAATGATCACAACAACAACTACTATGGGAGAGAATGTGTCAAACCATCACCATCCGTTTACATGTGGGAGAGAATATGCCAGAGCAATAGACAATCTACTCTCTCCGTTTGTACATTTTTCGAGTTTTTTTCGCTTAAAAACACAGGAAAATGTGCAGAAATTCTAAAAAAAAACGTTTAGAAAATCGGACCAATTTCTATCAGAAATTTCTGAAAAAAACGTCAGAAATTTCGGAAAAAAAATCTAAAATCAGAGCAGTCGGAAAAAATTGTTTACTGGGTGTGTCCCGAGGGTAATCTGATTAATTCCGGCATAAAAAGATTGGCGGTAAAAAAAATGTGTCATGGAAAAATATTTTTTCTTAACAACTTACCTCCGGTCCACACATGAATTATCACAGAAAAACGAAGATTTTTCATAGTTCCATTTTTATGCAGGTAAAAGAAAATAGACTGGCTAGAACCGAAACCCCGCACATCGAAATTTTCTGCGATACACTTGCTAATTTCGAAGTTTTGTTGCGGTGGTGTTCACATTAAATAAATGCCATGGCGCAATAAAATAAACAAGCCGGCATTAGTTTTATCCGGCAATGATCGAACGCCAAACTGAAAATGAGCCGGATATGCGGGGTCTCCTGATTTGTGAAAAAAGGTAGTGCCAAGTTTGTGTTGATTTTTGCTGAGTCGATTCTTTTAGATCGGGAAAATCGATGAGAAGGGGAAATTAGTCTTGGCGTCATTTTTCCCGTATAAAGGCGTAGAGATAACCAAAAGAAAGTCAGATTTTGTTGGTGCGCTGTAGAAAAAACAACATTTTATTTCGTTTGCCAAAATCGACCATTTGGAAAAAGTCGGCATTTAACAACGGTACAAAATTAAGTTTTATTGACGGGTTTATACGGCTGTGTGCCTTGCATTTATTCTTTTTATGTTGGATGGATAAAAATCATAGATGTAAGTTTAAATTGTGGTGTTGTCTAATATTGGTCGTAACAAGTGTTGTGTCCCTTCCATTTAAGATTCCATCAGATTGCAAGCCATTACGAGGCCTTCCAACAGTTTACGCGGAAGGTCGCCTTGTTTAAACAGACCATATGCCATAGAAAAATTTGTGTCGACATCTAAGTTGCAGCAAGCCAGCAGATTGATGTGACAGGGTCCGTTGTGCCGGAAAAGAGCCATATAATTACCGCCGACATAAGTTCCAACAAGCCAATTAAGTATCTCGTCAACCAGGTAACGAAGATAAAGAATTTTTAAATAGTTACCTCAGTTTAAGTGGAACCGGCACCGTAGCGCTTTATCAACGGATGTGAGGCGACCGTTAACCAATCTGAAATAAATTAACAAGGAAATTAAAATATTATTAATTGATTTACATTAAGTCCGAGAAAAAAAAAATAACCTAAAACCAAAAATTAAAAAAAAAACTGTAGTATTAATATAATGTTTTAGAAATAAGTTGTGTTGTTTAGTAGTTAATACTCGTTTATGTTTTGATCTAAGTATTATTATTGTGAGGAGAATTAATGCCACGAAACTCGTTCGACGTGAGTGAAGCAACACCCTCAACGTTCAACTAGGTTTAGACGAAACGTTTTTTCTTTTAGACAGGTTAAAGAAATGTCTAGCCCTACCTAATCGAGCTCCATTAGGCAGAATACCTTAGATTAGTAAAAATAGCCCGAGTTGGCCAAATACCTAGTGTGAAGATTGTTGTCGTCCCGAATATTGACTCACATTGCTCGTGTTGTTTGATGTTAATAATCCATTAAGAGACCATGATAAAGGCAATGTCAATAAATGTATATGTTTGAGTGTTAAGATTAATTATCATGTCTTTCTAACTTGAGTGTGAGAGAGGGAAGGAAGGGTATGTCATAGGTGAAAAAGTGTGTGTGGCAAATAGGGCCCTTGAAACAAATGAGAAAGGATACGAAGGGTCAAGGTTGGATGGGCAGAGTGGAGGAGTCATAACCACCAAGCTCCTTTGCCATGAGTGCGTGTCATGTTTGTGATCGTGTTGTTTTATTTGTGTTTTTCCCCCTTTACATTGATTGTTAGTCCCCTACGCCTGAAGGTGGAAGGGTTGAGAACCCCCTGAGAGTTGCACTCCTGAGCTAGATGGAACCCCACCTGAAGCACCACTGTAGGCGGTACATAACACGTATAATGTTTAGTTTTGTAGAAACTGTACATGTTGTAAAACAAGTTTGTGTGTTGATTGTTCTTCTTTAAATTCTTATCTCATTTTTATTTGTCTTTTCCGAAGAATGTAAATTAGCTAAATAAAGAACACACTTAAGATGCATGTGTTTTCCATATGCTATGTTTATGGTCGGTAATAAATAATGTAATAAATGTCACGACCATAAATATAAGATAAGAAAGGGTCGATCACAAATTAGGTACGTTTCGTTTTCTCCCGCAACGTAATGCACACAATAACGGCGCCGGCGAAAATTTCGTCGGACGACGCTAACTCAATTAGCTTTATTTCTATTTCATACGCCGGCGAATGGCGAATAAAATAGTACAAGGTGGCCATTGGTTTGACAGTTCATTGTCCCAGCAGCTGTGTCGATGCGTCTACCTATATTCATCTACCATGGTCACTCTACTATCTGTTACTCGTATAAAAATAAAAAAACACAATTAATTCGTTTATTTATTTGTGTACTTGCGCCTGATTGAAAAAGCAGATAAGCTTTTACTATAATATGCATTATTTTAACAATTTTAATAAACTTTACAATTCTCTGATCATTGTAGTCAACAAATGAGCAAAAAGTAAACCACTTCATCAGCTGTTTTACAATTTCGTCGGTATTGTGTTCTATACGGCGAATTTACGCGGCTCATTTTGTCGCCGCGTAGGGCGAAATTCGTCGTTCGCTCCAATTGTGTTCCTAGCATAATGTGTGCGTTAAAGCACAGCGTGCATTATTAAATAAAATGCATGTGTTAATGTATTAGTGTTAAGAATATGTTGTAAATAAATTGAGTTCTCTTCCAGCCGAAGAACAAGAAACATATTTTCGCGAAGTTTTCTCTTTCGTTAGTTACATCGCTTGTGATTTGGTAGCCCCGACGTGATAGTATCGCGTGTAGTTAGTGAAGGAAGTGATTCGATAGGCTATATTTCCAGTGCCCGAGAAAATATTAGTTTATGCGAAATAAATAACGTGATAGGCGGGCATTTTCGTAGAAGTGAAGTGTGTTAGGCTTATTTGCTGTAGCGACGTAAAAGATGCACTGTTAAAGCAAAGATAGTGTTCATAAAGTTGCTATAAATTTGCCCAACACTGTTGGTTGGATATTTACCGGCGGCCGCATAAATGGCATCATAACAAAATGATGTAAATAATGTAAACACGTACACATACACACATACATTTATGCAGCCACCGGTAAATTCCAATGCTGAATTCCAATAAATAAGCATCGTCAACAGCCAAAACAGGTTTGATGTGACGATGCAAATTGGAGAATAGTTAGTTCTCACCGAATTTTAAACGCGATCGCAAGTCTCAAGTTTTCCCCCCCGAGTGACAAGTGACAGTGAACAAATAAACGCTAATAACAATTTTTACAAAACACAGTGAACATTCAAAGTACTACAAAAAGCAAAATTACAAAATACAAAAAACATTACAAAATTGTTAAAATATTTTACAAAGACGTTCCAAAACATACAACAAAAAGTGAAATTACTGTACAAAATACATACACCTATATAATAAAACTTAGATGCTAATAGTTGTATTTAAAACTTAAAATCTAATGAACTAAAACTGAATTAAAATTTAAAGTACAAAACTAAGTGAACTAAAACTAAAACTAAACTACATAACTTAAGCTAATTGTGATATATCTAAATTGCACTACCCGAAAATAAAAATAATATACGAGAATAAAAAACAAAACTAATTTTTTACTAATTTCAAAAGGCTCAAAGGCAAAAAAGGTAAGCCTAAAAACATTTGGTCCTCCAGAGCCGGATTAAAAAAGTGAAGTTTTTTAAATTATTAAAAACGAAAAAAATTTTGTGAGTGGACGGACAGAAAAAAAAACAGTGAAAAAAGAACAGTGAAAAAATACAGTGGGGTGCAAAAATAAGTGGAAAGTTAAAAAAGTTTTGAAAAAAAAAAATACAATAAACTTTGGAAAAATTTTTCAAAAAAAAATAGACAGTGAACAGTGCAACGAAAAGAGACTATACACAGTGTTACAGAAGAGACGTTAAAAAGTAATATTCAAGAGACAATTTACAGTGACACAAAGAGCAACAACCAGGACAATTGTGGAAACAGCAGCAAAGGAGAAGCGGACGGACACGCGCAGCACAACAACAACAAACAAGGTACAACATCGAGACCCGGAGAAAAAAATCCAAAGTGAGTACTCGTGAAATTTTCTTTTTTGACACAAAAGGGCATTTCGGGAGCAAGCAAATCTTTAATATTTGCATTGACCCGCATATTCCCATAATTTGCAATAACACTTTGACCCATATTCAAAGCTGCTAGTTGCCCACTCTGACACAGTGACTGAAAATTTCCCAATTTTGAGCCATTTTTCTGGACGGACATTTGGCTTTTGACCCGGTAAAAAACAGGCAGACATATTCTTTTCTGAAAAACGGGAATTTTCAGCCATATACAAATATATATATACTAAAAATTTTGGAATTTTCTGAACGTGGAGTTCAGGCGAATACATAAGCGCCATATTGACACAAACACATAAGCTTTAAACTTTGGAAAATTGGCGTCACCAAGAAAGCACATAAACGCCATATTGCAACAATTTTATATACAAATTTTGAAACAAAGCGTCACTTGCAATATATAGTCGCCATATTTTTTGGACAAATTTGGCGTCATCCGAATACATAAACGAGTAAATAAAACCCGTTTAAAAAATAGCGTCTGGTGGACAGACAAAAAATAACCTAAATTTTTTTGAAACATTTTTTGAAAAAAAGCAAGCGTCTGGTGGACAGACATACATGTTATACAAAACCAACAAACGTATTTGAATTTTTTGAAAAAAAAAATTGGCAAACAAGCAAGCGTCTGGTGGACAGACATACATGAGAAACTTAAACTACAAATTTTTTTTAAATTTTGGAGAACAAATTATATATCGGAGTCTGGTGGACAGACATACAATCGATCCCATATATTTACAATTTTTTATTTTTATTCTAATTTTAACCTTTTTTCCCATTTAGCACAATATTTATTGCTCTAAGGAGCTTAAAAATTTTTCTGTGACCCAAAATTAATTTCTTGCATTTTTCGCAGAAATATTTTGCTGGTATACTTTTTTGATTTTGTGACACATTACACGACTTTTTGGGAAAAATTTCTTCCTTGGATTTTTTTTTGCAATTTCTTGATTTTTGCAATTTCTTGAATTTTTCTGCAATTCCTTGAAATTTATGCTGAAAATATTTGGATTTTGACCCAAATTATTTTCTTTTGAAATATTTTGCTGGGACATAAAATTTTCCGCTGAAATATTTGGACCTTGACCCAAATCAAATTTTTTGGAAATTTTTGCTCAAATTTTTGGATTTTTGACCCAAATTATTTGTTTGAAATATTTCTGCTGAAATATTTGGATTTATACATACATAATTTTCTCTAATTCTCGTTGCGAATTTTATCGGAAAAATTTGGCGAACTTAGAAAATTTGTTGAATCAGACAAATTTTCACAAGCAATAATCAAAGTTATTGGCTTTTATAAAATAAAATCCTCCTGTCATAGGATATTAAGTGATTTTAACAAAAAATTTAATTTTTTTTGACAACCCAACACACATTTTTACTTCGTTGAAATTTTTTTGGACTCTCTGAAATTTTTTGGAATTTTCAACTTCTCGTGGACAATCAAATTAGACTCTCGTTTTTTTTTTGGAAGAAATTGTTTACTGCGCAAAACATCTCTGGTAATTTCTGCTTTGCAATTCTCGTTTAAACACTTTTGTTTTAAAAACTTTTGATTATTTGTCGAATTGCAAGAATAAAATCCTCCTGTAAGTGGACCTTAAGAGATTTTATTTTCTTTTTTGCTCATTTTGACGAAATTTTGACCCTTCTGGTAACCCAGCAAACATTTTTAATCAAGTCAGTCCGGCGTCAAATATAAAGAAAATTTTTGAATTTTTGGAAAAAAAAATTTTAATTATTGAAAGGAACGAAATATAATTTGACTCAAACCAATAAAATAGGATCGTTTTCGTCGACAGATATTGAGAAAAAAAACTTATCCTCATTTTAAAAAAATAAAAATTTGGATAAAAGTTTAAATTCTAAACCAAGTTAGTCCTTTTCATTGGGCAACTTTTCTTTTTTGTAAACCAACAAAATTTCGTAAAGGTTAACGCTCAGCTTGCAAAATGGATAAATCTTTAAGCGATAAATTCACAAATTGCGTCAACGATCTTCTGGATTATATTTCAATTTTTTCAATAACCAAACCTGATGACACGGTACATACTTTGGAAACAACACGAATGGAGTTGGACTCTGCATGGGACCAGGTCAAGAGAGCCTACATAGACTGTCGGGATTATGTTCCAGAAGAGGAAGGAAAGCCGATCGATAAAAATAAACTGAGAAAGCACTATATGGATACCATGGGATCGTACAAAAAAGCGCTGAGTTCAATAAATGGACAAATTCAAAATATTTTGGATGAAAAGACACAGGAAAAAATGAAAAGAGAGTCAGAGATGTCACAACAAGGAAGGGAAGTGGATTTCACAAACGTATCGCGGCTACCTCCATGCGATACAGACACATTTAAAGGTGGTTACAGAGAATGGCCGACTTTCAGAGATCTATTTTCGGCAATTTACATAAACAACTCAAAATTAAGTAATGTCGAAAAATTATTCCATTTGACGCAAAAGACAGCAGGAGAAGCAAGGGAAATTATTTCACATGTCCCACTAACTAATGATGGATTTACATTAGCATGGAAAAATCTCACAGATCGTTACGAGAATAAAAGAATGCAAATTAATGAAGAAATCAAGACACTTTTCAATCTACCTGGAGTTTCTGCTGAATCAAGTCACTCTATTCAAAAACTACAACGCACGGTAAATAGCAGCATTCAGACACTGGGGATACTTGATGTCGATGTTAAAGGATGGGATCCGATCTTAATATACATTTGTTCAACAAAATTACCTAGAGGCTTTTTAGAAGAATTCGAGAACTCATTAAGCGATTGTAAACAAATTCCAAAATGGGAACAGTTTGACGCTTTCTTAACAAACAAATTCAAAACTTTGGAATCAGTTGGAAATATAAAGCCCTCTACATCGAAATTTGCTCAACAAAAACCAACTAACAATCACACGCCTAGATTTTTGAAAACATTTCAAACAAATGTCTCAAAAAATACAAACAACTTTGGAGGAAGACCTACTAATGTAATATTACCTCAACAAAATAAGCCGAAAAATACTCAAACTTGTCAAGTCTGCAAATCAAATCATTTCATAAGAGATTGCAGCGAATTTTTGAAAAAGAGTGTGAATGACAGAATTCACATCGTGAAAACTTCACACTTATGCTACAATTGCTTGTCATCAAATCACGGAGTAAAGGATTGCAAAAGTCGCTTTGGTTGCCGTATTTGTACTATGAAACACAATACTTTGTTACACAAGGGAACGGAAACCCAAACAACTAACTCATACCTAGCTCGAGTGGAAGCACGACCTAGTACTAGTGCTGCCGCTCTTACAAATCAAATACAGTCCACTACAAACCTAGAACCAACTACTATTACTACTTTGACCCTCCAAGATAAGCAAATTTGTGAGCGACAATCTGGAGGAACGCTACTTTTCACAGCAATAGTACAAATTGAAACCAAAGGACAACTTTACGATGCCCGAGCTCTAATAGACTCAGGATCACAATCCACCTTTATTTCGGAAAAGATGAAAAACTTTTTGAAGTTACCTACACGGAACAACTTAGTTCATGTCACTGGCTTAAGTCAATTTGTTTCTGAAACTTCAACAAAATCTTGCTTGTTTACTATGAGATCCAAATATGACCCTAGCTTTAAACTGGAAGTTTGGGCTCCAGTTTTAAAGAACTTACCTTCAAATCTACCACCACAAAACTTAGATGAATCACAACTTCGAGATGTAACAGCATTAGAACTGGCTGACCCGAAATTTTACGTTAGCCAACCAATCGATATTCTTATTGGAATGGACATAGGACCATTAATATTTACAATTGGAACTCCAATGAAAACATTTGGATCAATTTTAACACAAAAAACCAAATTTGGATGGATAGTTGGAGGACCCATACCAGGAAGCATCCTTCAACGAAAACAAATATCACTTCTAAACACAACTTCAATAGAGAAAGTACTTACACGTTTTTGGGAGGTGGAAGAGACCCCTAAAAAAGTTTTACGGTCAGAAGAAGACCAATTTTGTGAACAAAATTTCATTGAAACAACAATACGGAACAAGGATGGAAGATATGTGGTGACTCTCCCATTCAAAAAATGCGAGGAATTGGGGAATTCCAGAAACATCTCCCTAGCTCAATTCTACAGAATGGAGAAAAAACTTATGAAAACACCAGAGATCAAAGAACAATATGATGCTTCAATACTTGAATACTTAGAACTCGGTCATATGAGGAAAGTCAATCCGAATGAAATAGATAAAATGCCAAATTATTATCTACCACATCACGCTGTGATAAAACCCGATCGACTCACAACGAAGTTAAGAGTCGTATTTAATGCTTCTTGTCCTACATCAAACAAAACAAGTCTCAATGACATCCTATATCCTGGACCCATTCTTCAACAGGATTTAGTATTGCAAATTTTAAAATGGAGATTTTTCAAGTATGCCTTCAATGCAGATATAACAAAGATGTATCGCCAAATACTTTTGGATCCAAATCAAACAAAATATCAAAGAATTCTCTTTAGAAAGTCTCCGGAAAACCCAGTAGAGGATTATGAGCTGCTGACAGTTACATTTGGAGTTAACTGCGCACCATATTTAGCATTGAGAACTCTTCTTAAACTAGCAGAAGATGTCAAAGAATCATACCCTAGAGCCGCAAATATAATTTTGAATAATTTGTATGTTGATGATGTATTAGCTGGCGGCCACACTGAAGATGAATCAATAAAAGCTCGAAAGGAATTAACTGCTGCTTTAGACTCTGCTGGTTTTACACTAATGAAATGGGCATCAAATGATCGCAAAATAATACAAGATATTCCACATGAACATTTGCTACCACTCAATTGGCTAGACATTTCCGAAGATGCTTCAACTAAGACCCTTGGAATTCGATGGAATATCTCAGGCGATTATTTTTCGTTTACACCGCCCTCAATGGAAAATAAAAATGTATCTTCAAAACGAGAAGTTTTATCAACGATAGCCAAATTGTTTGACCCATGTGGATGGCTGGCACCGGTGGTCGTCGTAGCTAAGTTAATAATGCAACAAATCTGGCTAGACAAAATTGACTGGGATGATCAATTGAAGCCAATAACTCAGATGAACTGGAACAATTTCGTCAAAAATAGCAAAGATATTGAATATCTGAGAGTTCCTCGATGGATTCAATACACGCTAGATGGTTCTGTAGAGATTCATGGATTTTGTGACGCATCAGAAAGCGCATATGGAGCCACTCTTTATATTCGGGTGGAAAATACTGACCATACCACACATACATTTTTGCTAGCAGCAAAGACTCGTGTCGCTCCAATTAAAAAATTATCAATACCCAGACTCGAGTTATGCGGGGCAGTATTACTTTCAAAATTAGCAAAATCCATTGTAAATAGTCTACAAATATCAAAATATTCGACACAATTTTGGACCGATTCTACCATCGTCTTAGCATGGTTAAAAAAGCCTCCTTGTCATTGGAGCACATTTGTTGGAAATAGAGTCTCGGAAATTGCTGATAATGTTGGACAAGAAAATTGGAGACATGTTGATTCGGAAAATAATCCAGCTGATATTGCGAGCCGTGGATGTTCGCCTGCAGAGCTAAAGACTAGTGATCTCTGGTGGCAGGGACCTCAATGGCTCAGAATGCAAAAAGACCGTTGGCCATCATATGAAATCCCAAATGACACAAATTTGGAAGCCAAAACGGCAAAAGTTATGACTCTTTTCTCTGAAGGAGATGATCCTTTAAAAAATTTCTCCTCTTTATCTAAAGTTTATCGATCATACGCATATGCCCTAAGACTCTGGAAAAATACTGGAACAAATAGGCAACACCTTCGCGTCTCATCAAAAGACCTTACTTCAGATGAAATCCAAGATGGAAAACGATCTTGTATAATTCGTACCCAAAAATTCGTATATGCAGACGAATACAACGCACTTATGAAAAAGACTCAAATTTCTCCTTCAAGTCCTCTGTTGACCCTCAACCCATTTCTAGACTCAAAGGGTATTATTAGAGCAAATGGCCGATTGGTACAATCGCCAGCCCTTACCTATAGCGAACGTCACCCAATAATATTACCACATGGCGCAAAACTTAGCAAATTATTAGTCGAATTCACTCATAAGATTACTTTACACGGGGGTAATCAATTAATGACCCGAGTATTAAGGTCCGAATTCTGGATATTTGGACTCAAGTCGCTTATCAAACAAACCATACGAAAATGTCGAATCTGCTTAATTCACAAAAAACAAACCCAAACTCAAATAATGGCTTCGCTACCACCCGAACGCACTTTTCTTTCTCGACCCTTTACAAACACAGGGGTAGATTTTGCAGGACCCTTTAACATTAAAAGTTATTCAGGAAGAGCCTGTTTTATTACAAAAGGCTACGTGTGCCTGTTTGTTTGTTTCGCCACTAAGGCTATACATTTAGAACCCACAAGCGATTTGTCGACATATGCCTTTCTTGCCGCTTTTTCTAGGTTTATTAGTCGGCGAGGTTGCCCGTCTTGTATATTTTCGGACAACGGAACTAACTTTGTGGGAGCGGTTGATCTATTAAAGCGAGATAGATTAGCTTTCATGAAGAATATTCAAAATAGCACAATTCAAAATAATTTCACTCAAAATCTTACTTGGAAATTTATTCCTCCTGGTGCTCCGCACATGGGCGGCTTGTGGGAAGCTGGCGTCAAATCATTTAAAATCCATTTACGAAAAAGTATCCCAAAAATGAATTTCACTTTTGAAGAATTCACAACTATTTTATCAAGAATTGAAGGCTGCCTTAACTCACGACCCTTAAGTCCTGCTAGCGACGACCCAAACGACCTTTCCCCTTTGACACCTGGTCATTTCTTAATAGGAACACCTATTCTTACCCCAGCTGAACCAGACATTTCAGATACAGATTTAAGCTTAGTCAATCGTTGGAAAAGACTCAAAGTTATTTCGCATTATTTTTGTAATAGATGGAAGTTAGAATATCTTCACGAACTTCACAGAAGAACTAAATGGAAATATGAAAAGGAGAACATCAAAGAAGGAGATTTAGTTGTCGTAAAAGATGATAGATTGGCTCCGCATGAATGGAAGTTAGGTCGTATCGAAAAAACGTATCCAGGTAGTGACCAAAATACCAGGGTTGTAGACATACGGACGGCAAGTGGCAACATTAGCAGACAATTACAAAAATTGTCAAATTGTTTTCCGACTGACTAGTCGGATTCCCACTCAAAAAAGAATTTAGTACTCGCCTCAATTTCTTTTCAGATATGGCCGCTTACTTGCCTAACCAGGACTGCCGTCTGGACGATCGCAACCGTAGCCCAGACTCACCTGCCCGTCCCACAGCAAGAAGCGCCAATCGACCCATCCATCGTCCCAGTTCCACATCCCCTGAAAGGCGACAGAGAAGTCGATCCGACGTAAGACCCCGCCAACGCCAAGAAAGACCAAGCTACTGGCAATATTCATGTGGGCTCTGCCAAGATGACCATGCCCTCAGTGCCTGTGAGAGGTTCCGCAGACAGACGCCCTTCCAGCGTTATGAGACCGTGGAGCGTCGGGGGTATTGCCGAAATTGCCTGGCGAGAAGTCATTTGGCTCCCGACTGCCCGTCTTTAACTGGTTGCCGGAGATGCAACGACCGGCACCATACCCTATTGCACGGGGCGTCTCAGTTGGACGAGGTATCCCTCAACATCGAGGCCATTACAACCCCAGCCTTCGCATGGGATTTGGTGTTTGTACCAACAGCGATGGTACGCATAACGGCCGAGGGCATGGAGGGGTTCAGTATGCTGCGAGCCATTATTAGCCAATCTGCGACGATGTCTAAGATTTCGTACGCCGCGTTCCGTCGCCTGGGTCTGCAGTCGCGGAACTACAGAGGGGAGCGATTCACCACCTTCACCGTTTCGCCCCGCCGCACAAACTCTACTTGGAGTCTGAAGGTAAATGCGCTAATAATCGAAGACCTGCCCAGACGCATTTACTCAGACCCGATACTTGAAGACCCCACTAGATGCTTTACAAATTACGCCCTTGCTGACCCTGATCCCCGAGGAAATAGTCCAATCGATGTGGAACTGGGAGCGGACACGTACTCCGCCATAAGGAAAGATGGGTGTACAGCAGCTGGAATTGGAGATGTCCTGGCGTACAACACTCAACTGGGCTACGTGTTTGCTGGGCCAATCAAGAACATGCCGAGGAACTGAAGACCGAGGATCCTTATGGTATATTAGAAATGAATACTTACACTTGTCATTCGGGGCCCAGAAAATGTTCATAAAGTTGCTATAAATTTGCCCAACACTGTTGGTTGGATATTTACCGGCGGCCGCATAAATGGCATCATAACAAAATGATGTAAATAATGTAAACACGTACACATACACACATACATTTATGCAGCCACCGGTAAATTCCAATAAATAATAATAATGAATTCCAATAAATAAGCATCGTCAACAGCCAAAACAGGTTTGATGTGACGATGCAAATTGGAGAATAGTTAGTTCTCACCGAATTTTAAACGCGATCGCAAGTCTCAAGTTTTCCCCCCCGAGTGACAAGTGACAGTGAACAAATAAACGCTAATAACAATTTTTACAAAACACAGTGAACATTCAAAGTACTACAAAAAGCAAAATTACAAAATACAAAAAACATTACAAAATTGTTAAAATATTTTACAAAGACGTTCCAAAACATACAACAAAAAGTGAAATTACTGTACAAAATACATACACCTATATAATAAAACTTAGATGCTAATAGTTGTATTTAAAACTTAAAATCTAATGAACTAAAACTGAATTAAAATTTAAAGTACAAAACTAAGTGAACTAAAACTAAAACTAAACTACATAACTTAAGCTAATTGTGATATATCTAAATTGCACTACCCGAAAATAAAAATAATATACGAGAATAAAAAACAAAACTAATTTTTTACTAATTTCAAAAGGCTCAAAGGCAAAAAAGGTAAGCCTAAAAACAGATAGTATTAGATCTTTTAGTTGTGTAAAAGGAGACATGATAGGTAGCAGTGAAAGATTCTGTCGATCTATATCTCCATATACTAACGCAATAGACGAGTAATTAAAAGTGATTATTTTATTCGTATATTTTTGAGTGCACATATATTTCGTCAATATGAATTTTGTAGACTTCATTCAACATAAAAGGATGTTGGACGAGTATATTGTGTCACTTTATTTAGATATGGAAAGAATTGCTCTGTGTGGTGTAACTGAAGAAGCTGGGGAAAAATGTACCGAATTAGGTAGTTCCTTTACAGAAGCAAGAAAGGAATATTTAGATAACGAGAGGGAACTTCGTCGTTTGAAAAAATTACATACTCGGATTGCATAGACGCCTTGGGTGTGTGCTATGCGACTAAAGATATCGGGAGAGTTCTAAACGGCATAGGTGTTTTTGTGCCCATAGAAATACCACGTTTAGATATCGATTATTTAGCGGATGTGAACAGCTTAAGTTCATCGGAACAGTGTGGGAAAAAGTTGTTCGGAAAGTAGTTCGAAATTGCGTTCACTGCTTTCATTACAAGCCAAAATTGTTGGGGCAAATTATGGGTAATTTGCCTTTTGATCGTTTTCGAGCTCATCGTCCATTCCTATTTACTAGAGTTGATTTTTGTGGTCCATTCATGACATCGTATCGAATTCGTGGAAAGTCACCCTAAAAAAATACATCGCTGTTTTTGTTTGCTTCAGTTCTAAAGCAACACATTTGGAACTTGTTTCGGATTTGTCAACAAACAACTTCATAATGTGTCTCAAAAAGGTATTCCCCAGCTCTTTTGCGACAACGCTACCAGGGAACCCCGATTTTTGACCCGAAAGTCCGTGTTTAAGACCCGGACCCGGTTATGAAAATACCTATCCAACAAGTGGTCACATGAAGTTGTCACGGTTTGGAATATATAGTCAAATTATCGATTTTTTGGACCCGGATTTTTTATAAAAACTCAAAAAGTCGAAAAAGGTCCCATTATAGGGGTCAACAAAGTTGATGCCAAATTATAGCTGACACTCTTACCTTTCCAAAATCCTACAATTTGTGCTCATACCTTTTTCGGGTCCAGAGATATGGGTCTTTCCATTCGCATAACTCAATTCCAAAGTGCTACAATTGGTGCTAATACATTTTTCGGGTCCAGAGATATTCTCTACTTTTTAAATTTAACAGTTGTTGTAAGTAGTCGGCCTTCGTCCGGGGCTCGAGATTTTCTTCTCTAGGTATGTCCCACACCGGCAAAGTTTTCCAAATTTGATACTTTTTGTAAGTCGCCGGCCTTCGGCCGGGGCTTGAGTTTTTCTCCTCTGGGTATGTCCTACACCGCGAACTTGGACTTTCGGGTTAAAAATCGTGGTCCCAGGTCGCACATTTTTATGTGGGAAACCAAAATTTATTTTTGTTATTCTTTTAAAATTGTTCTATGAAAAAAAATAAGATTGTACAAAGATAGTATGAACAGTAGTATTTATGTATAAAGTTTTATAATTAATATAAAACATTTAAAATATTTAAAAATATGGTACATTTGAGAAGAGATAAGAAACACTTTCGCCGTTATGTGTTCTTCTAACGGCTTCGGCAAACATCATAGAGACATCAATGAACTGTATATTGGGACAATCTCTCATATGTACATCCTGGGGAATAGTATTTGTAACAACCACAGCCTCAAAGCAGGCATTGTTTATGCGAGAAATCGCTGGTCCAGAAGAGATACCATGTGTCAAAATAGCATAAACCTTTGTAGCACCTGCTTCCACCAAACGATCGACAGCATGAACAATTGTACCGCATGTATCGGCCATATCATCGACCAATACAGCAATTTTATCTTTGACATCACCGACAAGCACCATCGAAGCAACTTCATTGGCCTTCTTGCGTTCTTTGTGAATCAGTGCGAATTCAACGTTCAAACGATCAGCGATGGACGTCACACGTTTAGCCCCACCAGCATCAGGTGAGACAATAATTCTGTAATATTTTCTTTGATCCATTTTCTTTGGTTCAGCAAAAAGATTGTCCACGGGAATATCAAAGAAACCTTGAATTTGAGATGCATGCAAGTCCATAGTAATAATGTGATCTGCTCCGGCCACTGATAGCATATTTGCAACCAATTTCGCGGAAATTGGGGAGCGACTCATTTCTTTCTTATCTTGGCGAGCATATGGGAAACAAGGAATCACAGCTGTTACACGGGATGCTGATGCGATCTTGCAGGCATTGATCATGATCAGTAATTCCATCAAGTTGTCATTAATCTCACCGGAACCAGATTGTACAATGTACACATCTTCACCGCGCACAGACTCACCAATTTCGACACATGTTTCCAAGTTGCTGAATTTATTGGTGACCACTTTGCCCAAATCGATACCCAAACGGTCGACAATCCTTTGAGCCAGATGTGGATGCGAAGTACCCGAAAACACTTTAATGGTTGCCATTCTTGTTTCTCCAATTGCAGATTTTGTGCGTAGCTAAGTGGCAGATTGAACTGAGAAATGTGAGGTCTTTTATTGGTATTTCGAGGAACTACAAACGGAATGACATGGTTATAGCATGATGGAGGGTATTCGAAATAATATTGGTAGTTATATGAATTTAATGCGTTGTTTAACTTTCCACCACACCAAAACATGAGCACGAAAACTGTGAGGTGAAAAACAACAGCGCATCTTTTGGTTAACCAATTTCAAGGAGTGCTGAGTTAAAAAATGCATTTTATTCATATTAATACCAATATTATTTCGAATATCCTACATCATGCTATAACCTTTGTCATTCCGTTTGTATACCCTCGAAATACCAATAAAAGACCTCACATTTCTCAGTTCAATCTGACAGCTATGGTGCCAAAATTAGAATAAAAAAATTACTGTGAAACCCACGCAAATTTACCTTTACAAGTCTTTATATTTCAGTTGCTTTTTGAAAATAGATGCAATATGAGCAATTAAAAACGATAGTACAATCTCTGAAACTTTTGTAACTGGTAATCACTTGGGCTGAGAGTATGTTACATTCTAAACAAAATCGTTGTTATGCTTTATACGTTTTACGAAATCAATAAATAAGACAAATATTTGTTAAATCGAATATAATAAAAGCGAGATTTATTTTAAATAATTCATTATTTTTTGTGGAAATTTAAAATGAAAAATTGATCTGGAATATTTCTATTTCGATACTTCTCCCAACAAAGACAAAAGTATTAAAATTTTTACTGAATTTAGTGTTCCTAAAGATGAAGGAAGGAGTTTGGAATGGAGTGCAGCTTGTGGAATTAAGTTAGCCCCAACATCTAAAATTTGTATGGACCATTTTAATCCAAAGCACATCACGGGAAGTAATGGAAGAATTCGACTCTTGCCACTTGCAGTTCCGGAACCACGGCATATTGGCGTATTTCCATAGTAAGTAATTTGTGTTTTAACAGTATTTCCTAATTTTAAATATTCATTACCTCCATTCAGTGGACAAACTGTCGAATCTCAAGTGGTTGAAGAAATGCCTGGAAATAACGAAATTCCCATTAGCATCGAAATGGATACTGAGAATAATGTTCAAGCAGAGAAGGAGCACACAAATATAAAATTATATCCTTGCCAGAACCAAAAATGGAAGTTGAGTAAGTAGATTCTGTGATTTTAATAGCTTCTTGCTTAAAATAAATGGCTTGTCATTCCATTTGAACACAAAATAGTTATTAAAAGTCCGCTTCGGCCGACCTAAACAGTTTTTACTTGTTATACTAACCTACTTATTTGTAGTCCAGTGGTTTTTTTTGCAGATTACCAAAAATATGCTGAAAATATAAGGAATCTACAAAACGAGAAGAAGGAGTTAAGTTATAAATTGTTGGAGGCAAATGCTCTTTGTGCTTCAATGAAAGGAATATTTACTGATGGCCAGATTGAAATGCTGAGCAAGAGGCACAGGGTTGAATGGAAATGGCAAGACATTTCAAATGCTATATGCCTACATGCAGCGGGACCCAGAGCATATAGACATTTGTACAATAAAGGTCATCCGCTCCCACACGTCTCTACTCTTCAGCGATGGTGCAGCAAAATAAACTTGAACGAAGGGCGTCTGTCTGCGACATGCATCGACTTTATGAGACAAATTAATTATATGTCACAGGATGATAAAATGTGTGTGCTGTCGTTCGATGAGATGACGGTCACAGAGACATACGATTACAACCGGGTCGATGATTTTGTACGGAAACCGGCAAACTTCGTCCAGGTTGTTATGGCCAGAGGAATAAAGAAATCATGGAAGCAACCCGTGCTTTACGATTTCGACTGCAAAATGACCTTCGAGATATTGATGCGGATTATTGAAGCCCTACAGAGTGCCGAATTTTTAGTGGTGGCAGTAGTATGTGACATGGGTCCATCAAATCGTAAGTTGTAGAAAGATTTAGGCATCACACATGGTAAGCATTGTACAGGAAAACCTCTCGACAATATTCCTTCTCGGCATTTACTTGCGGATTAATGACATCGGTAAAAACGGTAAATAAAAATACAGATTTTATTTTAGTCATAGTGTTTTCATAAGAATAGTACAACTTAGAATTATTAATCATTATTATTTTCCTTCATCGCTTGGTTTTTTATTTCACAGATATAAAGCGGAGCAAACAGCAGACTTTATCAAACTAATTAATGACTGGTTTGATATTCATAATTCTTCACTGTCAACGTTTGGTCTACCGGGAAAGGTAAATACAATTTTCTTTGTTATAATAGGAGCCATATGGAATAAATTTAAAGGAACAACAAGAAATATTGTTGAAGATGGACATAATTATGTAAAGCCCTGTTGTTCCTAATAAGAAAACTCCGGAATTTTTCCAAAATGGCATTCTAATTTCTAATAGTGCTTTAAGAATGCTACATCAATATTTGCAAGAAAGAGAATTCAAATACATAGTGACCCGTCGTTTGAACCAAGATGTTCTGGAACATTTTTTTGGGGCTATGAGGAGTAAACGTGGTCTGAATGATCACCCTTCTCCACAAGAATTCAAGTACAGAATTCGCAAATGTATTTTGGGTAAGTAAAAATATTTCATATTTGAATAATATTTACCTTATATTTGCATTACAGCAAGAAACTCTGAAATTTTGTCGGGTAGAGCAAATGTTGAAGCCGTTTCAACAGAATGGCTCCAAGGCAATATTTCTTCGTCAGATGTGTTTGAACATAGCCTCCAAGAGACCGAAGAATATACCCAAGATGACGGTTATGAAGACACGCAGCTTAGCTTAACACAAGCTACTGATCTTAGTGACCTTGATGATGTCAATATAGTTGACACTGGTCATCTTCAAGAGGATGCATTGGAGTATGTATCTGGCTATGTCATACGAATGCTGAAATTTAAAGATTTTCCTTATAATGCCAGCAGTTACACTTGGGTTGATCAAGTTTCACAGGGCTCACTGATTAAACCCAGTGATCAATTCCTTGAAAAAATGAAGGAGTTGGAAATACTTTTTAATGACGTGAATGGCATGGACATTTCATATGCCCCCAAACTTCGGCATTTTTTGATTAGAAAGAGTGAAAAGGTTGACCTTTGCGAAAAAGTGAAGGAGTTATTCTTTAAATGCCGCATATTCTTTAGGCAGTTAAATAGACGCCTGAAAATCCAGAAATCCAAGCAAAGGATTATTGGATGTAAAAAATGATTAAAATAAAGTTATAAGCCTTAAATGAAAGTATGTTCCAAACATGCATATTATTTGCCATGAATAAACTTTATATCCTCTTCTATGTAACCCGGTGAGGTGTTTACTTGGTTGGCTATAAAATGTTCTTAGAAGCTATGCGACGATAAGCTACTTAAAAGCCTGAAATTTAATTTAATTCTCTATTTTATCTAGTCATTCTCTAGTTATCTAGTTACCGCTGTGCGGTAATCTGACAATGAATTATGTAATATTTTTAATTTAAATGTGCCTTGAATTAATATCCTTTTGGTTTAAAACCAGTAAAATATAGTCATTATAAGTTTCATAGTTTAAAAAATATGGCAATACTACAATTAATACTTATTTTACTCTTATGTTTTACAATAAAAACTTTTTAAAAATGAATAAATATTCGTCAATACATTTTAATAACACTGTTTATTTATTGGTAAAATTGGGGTATTCTAACATACAGGACATTCTTAAAGATTATTCTCAAATACATAAAATCGGACGAATGTACATATAGGAGCTATGTCCAAATCTGAAACAATTTCAATATCATTTTACAAATACATTTTTAGACCAAATTCCATTACACATTTCAAATTTAAATGAAATATATATAAAATAAATTAAATCGGCCGAAAATATGTATGGAAGCTATATCCAAATCTGAACCGATTTCAGTATGGTATATATCCAGTTCTCAGTGGATTTTCAAAAAAATTGACAGCCTATGTTACTTTCAGGCAAAGCTGGAAATGTTTAGGAAAATCTGTTCAGCGGTTGTTAAGTCTATAAATTACAAACAAACAAACATACAAACAACCAACACCACCTAATGAAATTTATCAAATCTTCCGTCATTCAGCAAATCTTTGACGGCATCCAAGATTTTCTTTTTCTGAATTTTTATTTTGATTGTTGTGATTGACAAAAGGCTGCTGCTGTTGGGCCAAATTATTATTCAAGGCCTCTTGTTGTTGCTCCTGCTGTTCTTGCTGCTTTGCCTGGCGATGTGCATTCGAGCCAGTGGAATTGGTATTCCTCTTCAGCTTGGGTGTAGTTGATCTTTGTTGAACATTATTACCGCCGCTCGATGTTGGGTTTTCATTCTGAAAAAAGAGACAAAATATAAGAATGAGGAATTTGAATGATCTTGGATTTCCAATAACAAAATAATAACTAAATACTCACCTGATTAAATTTGGTCGGAGTGTTGGTGCCCTGATTTTGCATGGAACGATATTGGTTTTATGTTTTTTTTTTTTTTTTTTCTTTAAAATCATTTATTTTCTATTTTTTTATTGAATATAGTTTGCGACGTTCGTTCACGACGAGAGGCACACACAAAATAAAATGTAAACAAACGCCTCGTTTCTGTTTGGTTGAAACAAATTTGCCGCAAACTTTAAATGTCATGGCGAATCTATGTTTTTCGCCTTAGATGTCAATTTTGACATTTGAGGGGACCACAAAAGTTGCTTTGTTGTAGCAATTCGCCGATGCGGTTACCTGTTAGATCTACCTTGGTACAAGGTGGCCATTGGTTTGACAGTTCATTGTCCCAGCAGCTGTGTCGATGCGTCTACCTATATTGTTCTACCATGGTCACTCTACTATCTGTTACTCGTATAAAAAAACAATTAATTTGTTTATTTATTTGTGTACTTGCGCCTGAGTGGAAAAGCATATAAGCTTTAACTATAATATGCATTATTTTAACAATTTTAATAAACTTTACAATACTCTGATCATCATTTACAATACTCTGAGCAAAAAGTAAACCACTTCATCAGCTGTTTTATAATTTCGACCGTATTGTGTTCTATACGGCGAATTTACGCGGCTCATTTTGTCGCCGCGTAGGGCGAAATTCGTCGTTCGCTCCAATTGTGTTCCTAGCATAATGTGTGCGTTAAAGCACAGCGTGCATTATTAAATAAAAGGCATGTGTTAATGTATTAGATGTAAGCTTTAGTGTTAAGAATATGTTTTGTGAATTTGAAATAATCGCTTTTACTGAAACATGGTGAAAATCTGATGTTCTTGACACTGAGGTGTTTTTTGATAATTATCAAGTTTATAGAAAGGATCGAGTAATGAAAAAAGGAGGAGGAAGGACCCCTGTAGTGAATTTGTCTGCGCTAAATTAAATATCACAGTTAACACCGTATTCTTAACTTGTTCTTATATTGCTCCTAATTCTGGCCTTGAAATTTATATAAACCATGCTACTTTAATTTCTAAAGTTTCTTCTTTACTTACGGAAAATTCTTCATTAATATGTATGGGCGACTTTAACCTTCCTGGTGTTTCTTGGATCTCAGGTGAGAATATTGTAGATTATGTTCCCTCGTCATACCCAATTGGTTTTGATGCCTTTTGGGATATTATATTTGAATCCTGCTTGTACGAAGTGAATGATATTTTAAATATCAAAGACAGATTATTGGATTTAGTCTTCTCTTCGTCGTTGAATATATCGGTTTCCAGATCCTCTCCCTTTGTACTTCCTGAGGACAGCTATCATCCGACGCTGTTGATAAATCTTGAATTGAAGACATCTTCACCTAAATTTTTATCTACTAATGCTTTAATTAAAAGGCGTAACTTTAGAAAAACAAATAATATTGGTAGTTATATGAATTTAATGCGTTGTTTAACTTTCCACCACACCAAAACATGAGCACGAAAACTGTGAGGTGAAAAACAACAGCGCATCTTTTGGTTAACCAATTTCAAGGAGTGCTGAGTTAAAAAATGCATTTTATTCATATTAATACCAATATTATTTCGAATATCCTACATCATGCTATAACCTTTGTCATTCCGTTTGTATACCCTCGAAATACCAATAAAAGACCTCACATTTCTCAGTTCAATCTGACAGCTATGGTGCCAAAATTAGAATAAAAAAATTACTGTGAAACCCACGCAAATTTACCTTTACAAGTCTTTATATTTCAGTTGCTTTTTGAAAATAGATGCAATATGAGCAATTAAAAACGATAGTACAATCTCTGAAACTTTTGTAACTGGTAATCACTTGGGCTGAGAGTATGTTACATTCTAAACAAAATCGTTGTTATGCTTTATACGTTTTACGAAATCAATAAATAAGACAAATATTTGTTAAATCGAATATAATAAAAGCGAGATTTATTTTAAATAATTCATTATTTTTTGTGGAAATTTAAAATGAAAAATTGATCTGGAATATTTCTATTTTGATACTTCTCCCAACAAAGACAAAAGTATTAAAATTTTTACTGAAAAAAAAACCAAAAAACGCAAACACATAATTTTTTCTTGCAATCAATTTCGAATTGTAATTAACAAAACAGTGTTGGCTTGTTTGTTCGGGATATCATTGTATTTTGTTGTTGCAAAATGGCCCTTTATTGTTGTTTTTATAAAAACGCAGTTTGTTTATTAGTGGGGAACGATGATAATGTTTACCGATGATAGGCAGGGAATACCTGGTTTTTGGAAAGAGCAACCAATCCTTATCAGTTCCCTTGTTTTTGTCTGTGATTTTCTCCTCAGAAGTTATTTTAAAAATAACAGAAGTAATTTAAAAAAAAAAAATCTATGACAATTTTTTACCCAAGTGACAAGTGCGTAAGCCCAATAGAAGAGGAATCAAAGAATTACATTGAAGCAAAATTCTTTTGGTAAATCTTCTAATTCTTACAACTGCAAGTTGGTTTTGTCTGTTTTGTTTTTTCTCTTTCCAAAACCTAGGTATTCCCGTCATTTCCCCCTGGTAAACATTATCATCATTTCCCGCTAATAAACAAACTTTGTTTTTATAAAAACATCAATAAACGGATTAAGCCTGACCATTTTGCAACAACAACATACTGTGGTATTCCGAACAAACAAGCCAACGCTGTTCTGTTAATTACAATTCAAAATTGATTGCAAGATAAAATTATGCGTTTGCGTTTTTTGTTTTTTTTTTTTTCAGTAAAAATCCTTAATACTTTTGTCTTTGTTGGGAGAAGTATCAAAAAAAAAATATCCCAGATCAATTTTTCATTTTTAATTTCCACAAAAAATAATGAATTATTTAAAATAAATCTCTCTTTTATTATATTCGATTTAACAAATGTTTGTCTTATTTATTGGTTTCGTAAAACGTATAATGTTTAGTTTTGTAGAAACTGTAAATGTTGTAAAAATAGTTTGTGTGTTGATTGTTCTTCTTTAAATTCTTATTTCATTTTTATTTGTCTTTTCAGAAGAATGTAAACTAGCTAAATAAAGAAAACACTTAAGATGCATGTGTTTTCCATATGCTATGTTTATGGTCGGTAATATATAATGTAATAAATGTCACGACCATAAATAGAAGATAAGAAAGGGTCGATCACAAATTAGGTACGTTTCGTTTTCTCCCGCAACGTTATGCTAGAAACACAATTGGAGCGAACGACGAATTTTTCGCGGCGTATGTTCGTCGTCAAAAATAAAAAACATATGCTAGGAACACAATTGGAGCGAACGACGAATTTCGCCCTACGCGGCGACAAAATGAGCCGCGAAAATTCGTCGTATGGAACACAATACCGACGAAATTATAAAACAGCTGATGAAGTTGTTTACTTTTTGCTCATTTGTTGACTACAATGAATTATACAAGAACACATAATTCTTTACGTTCTCTATTATAATTTCACTTATGTCCATCTTCTCTATTATAAATTCACTGATATCCATCTTCACTCAGGCGCAAGTACACAAATAAATAAACAAATTAATTATGTTTTTTTATACGAGTAACAGATAGTAGAGTGACCATAACAAATTTTAAAGTAAAAAGTAACTTTATTTACTAAAACACATAAAATTCGTACAAGTATGGCCACCTTGTACTGTTTTGTTCGCCGGTCGCCGGCGTATGAAATAGAAATAAAGCTAATTGAGTTCGCGGCGACCGACGAAATTTTCGCCGGTGCCGTGATTGTGTGCACTTCCATATACACATATGTGTTTTATTTTTGACGACGAACATACGCCGCGAAAAAATTCGTCGTTCGCTCCAATTGTGTTCCTAGCAATATGTGTATATAGAAATGCGCACAATCACGGCGCCGGCGAAAATTTCGTCGGACGACGCTAACTCATTTAGCTTTATTTCTATTTTATACGCCGGCGAATGGCGAATAAAACAGTACAAGGCGAGGTAGATGTACTAGGTAATCGCATCAGCCCAGCTGACGGCACCATTTAATGTCAATACAAGTTGTTGTAATGGTGAATTCGCCCTAAATGAATGCAACAACAAATTTGTTTGTTTTCTTTCCTAAAAGTAACTTTTTATAATATTTGAAATGAATAAAGAACAACTTTAGAGTGAAAACAGTAAAAAAATTAAAAGAAAATGAAAAAGTGCTCGATTTGCAACAAGAAATATTGTGATGGAAATTTAACACTATTTAGTGTTCCTAAAGATGAAGGAAGGCGTTTGGAATGGAGTGCAGCTTGTGGAATTAAGTTAGCCCCAACATCTAAAATTTGTATGGACCATTTTAATCCAAAGCACATCACGGGAAGTAATGGAAGAATTCGACTCTTGCCACTTGCAGTTCCGGAACCACGGCATATTGGCGTATTTCCATAGTAAGTAATTTGTGTTTTAACAGTATTTCCTAATTTTAAATATTCATTACCTCCATTCAGTGGACAAACTGTCGAATCTCAAGTGGTTGAAGAAATGCCTGGAAATAACGAAATTCCCATTAGCATCGAAATGGATACTGAGAATAATGTTCAAGCAGAGAAGGAGCACACGAATATAAAATTATATCCTTGCCAGAACCAAAAATGGAAGTTGAGTAAGTAGATTCTGTGATTTTAATAGCTTCTTGCTTAAAATAAATGGCTTGTCATTCCATTTGAACACAAAATAGTTATTAAAAGTCCGCTTCGGCCGACCTAAACAGTTTTTACTTGTTATACTAACCTACTTATTTGTAGTCCAGTGGTTTTTTTTTGCAGATTACCAAAAATATGCTGAAAATATAAGGAATCTACAAAACGAGAAGAAGGAGTTAAGTTATAAATTGTTGGAGGCAAATGCTCTTTGTGCTTCAATGAAAGGAATATTTACTGATGGCCAGATTGAAATGCTGAGCAAGAGGCACAGGGTTGAATGGAAATGGCAAGACATTTCAAATGCTATATGCCTACATGCAGCGGGACCCAGAGCATATAGACATTTGTACAATAAAGGTCATCCGCTCCCACACGTCTCTACTCTTCAGCGATGGTGCAGCAAAATAAACTTGAACGAAGGGCGTCTGTCTGCGACATGCATCGACTTTATGAGACAAATTAATTATATGTCACAGGATGATAAAA